TCTTGCTCTCCATCCCCAAGCTGTATTTGTGATTTGCTAATGCTTAGCCTGTCAGCAGGTCTTCAATTGACTTGCTAGTGACTCTGATTACCCTTTATAAGAGCTGATTATTCCTGTTTCTAACTTACATACTTGAAAAAAGATTTCTTATTGATAGGGTTGAGGGAAAGCTTCAAGGGCATTTAAGAGTAAACTGAGTATATGTTCTCATAGGTGAGAATCATGAATGCAGGAAAATCTGGGGGCCTTGTAAGTGTCCAGGCCAAACCCCTAATTTTACAGAGAGAAAAGGACAAGGGAATAAAAGTCTCATAATAAGAAATTTGTAGATTTGAGAACCTGGATCTCTCAACCTTAAATTCAGCCAGGGCTCTTTTTACTATACTGTGGAAGAAGTGTAGCCTAGTGGTTAATATGTTGGGCCCTGATGTTGGGCAACTTGGAGTTGAATCTCCACTTTTAGTCACGTATTTGTCTGTTGATTTGGGCAAGCTGTCAAACATCAGTTGGCCTCCTTGTTCCATTTTATACAGGAGCAAAATGAAAAAATATATTAGCATTTACAGGGAACAAAAAAAAGGAGGTGTATTTCCTGTTTGTCCTACTGTTCCAAGAGCTGTCTGTTGTGTAGGCCATTACTTCCAGTCGGTGAAGCAAGGGCTTTCCAAAGAAAGGGTCTTCTGGTCAAAGGTGTCTATGCCACTTGCCCCTGCCACCACTCTGGTCTACCACTCTGCTTGAACTCCTATGCCTGCTTATTCTTTGTGATGAGGTACCCCAAGATACTGTTAAAATAGTTGAGTTACCAAGATCTCACATTCGGTCATGCTGTTAAGACCATGGCCTGAAAGACATCCTCTGATTATCCTGAGCCAATTGATTGATGGAGCCAGGAGAGTGATATGAGGTCCTACCAGGGGAGGCACCAATGGGTCCATTTGGTAAAAGCACCTATTTAAGGGTACTCTGTAAGTTTCATTTTCAACCTGGAACAGACCTTCTAAATTACCATCCTCCAACCACCTGAGATGAGCTCATGGGGTAGCTGAGGGTAGCAGAGGTCATTCTCAGTCTCTGGCAAGTTCATATCCCCTCTCTGGGCCTTGTATTCATTTTTCTGGTTCCCTTCTCTTTAAATAGAGGAGTGCTTGGCTAGAAGCATAGGAAATGTTAAGCTGCCCCAGGGTCTTGTGCCCTTCCTCCAGAAAGAGCACTCTTACTGCCCAACATACCAGTCGGTTATAAACGGAGAAAGCAAATGGATGCTTCTTTTCAAACAGCTCTTTTTGTAAAAGGGACCAAAGCTTACAATTTTTTTTTTTTGGCAGAAATATGTGGGTTGTTTTGAAGGTAGGATTGGAGGCTCAGAAGCAGCAGTTGGTGGGGTTTCAGAATTCACTTCTTCCCCTGCAGATGGGAAAAGAGAACTCTGAGAGGTGACTTACTGGTATAAGCCCCTCCTCAATCTGAGGCTGTCCTTTGGCAAACAGGGTGACAGAAGGAGCTCTGGAAGGATTCTATGGTCAAATCTACCCAGACCCACTTGCTATATGGCCTGATATGCTAAAATTTTACTTCTTTGGGTTAATATTCTGATTTTTAAATATCCAAGCAGCCCTGGAAAGGGTTGCCAATTAATCTCTGACTGATGAGATGGTTGAAGAACCCTCACTGAGTGGTTAGGAGAAACCATTTTCAGTCCCAGCATTAATTTTAAATTACCCAGTGACCCTGGGCTCATCTACTTATCTGAGTTTTGTCATCTGCCTATGTATGGATATCTTTCACTTTATCTTGTGGGATGTAGATTAGCTGGGGTAGGAAAAGCTGATGACATTGAAGGGAAAAACATTTTTCCTAAAAGTTAAGTGTTTGGTCAGCCAGCCTCCTTTTGCTGAACTAGTGCTGAGGATACTGTTGCTGTCCAGGTGGCATTGGTTCCTGAGGTACCTGGGCTTGTCTTTTCTCCAGCCTGACCCGTGACGGATTAGCTTCTTTTGTAGACAGTGTCAGGGCACAGATGGTGGAGTTTATTTTTTATTTTTTTAAATTTATTTATTTATGATAGTCAGAGAGAGAGAGAGGAGAGAGAGAGAGAGAGAGAGAGAGGCAGAGACACAGGCAGAGGGAGAAGCAGGCTCCTTGCACCGGGAGCCTGACGTGGGATTCGATCCCGGGTCTCCAGGATCGCGCCCTGGGCCAAAGGCAGGCGCCAAACCGCTGCACCACCCAGGGATGGTGGAGTTTAAATATTGGCAGAGGAGGGGCTTAGGTGCAGTGATATGGATGGAAGGAGGTACTGGAGACTCAGTGCTTTATTTAAAGAGTAAGTGGCTGGAGAGATGGAGGTGTTGATGGAGATGATAGGCTAAAGCTTCTCTTCCCCATTGCTTACACACCTCAGCACCTAGGATGAGTCTACAGCCTGTGTGAGGGAGAGAGATGTCCTAGCTCTGGCTTCCCCCTGATAGCTGGAGATGGTGGCTGCCCTGGCCCACTTTAGGTATTAGCAGCTCCTTACTATTTGCTGATTTGAGAAAGGCAACCGGCGGCCTCAGAAAGGCTTAGGGGATTCATTATCTCTCTGAATAATGTTGCTGTTCTCCTGCTTGCTATACTCCCTTTGAGACCATCCCCCATTAACAGTTTCTTCAATAGCCAGAGTCACAACATTGTTGGGCACTGCCATGTGCTGTGCACTTAGAACACAGCAGAGGACAAGACTGCAGCGGCCCTTCCTCATGGGATTTTCCACTGAGTGTGTGCATGATACAGAATCAGATGGCTGCACAAATAGTAAACTAAAGGCTTTGCACAGGGACATTCCTGCACTGTAACCTCCCCCAAATAGTTCTTAGAACCACAGACTGTTAGAACCAGTCCAGTTCCTACGTTGTGCACTTGGGAAAGCTAAGAGAACCTCAGCTTAAGGTTGAAACCTGATGAAGGGATTTGTCCAGCATCACAGTGGACACCATTGGCAGAATGGACTTGAAATCTGGGCTCCTGACTCCTGGCTCAGTTCCCCTTCCATCTTGTTTTCCCTGCTCTAGCTGTAGGAAGAGTCCTCAGAGCAGCAGCTCCTCCACTGATGCTAGGTGGCACCAGAACACCTTTGAATAAAAAGGCTCTAGGTCTCAGCTCTTGTCTGATAATACCCAGATCCTCATTGTGGGCATCCTAAAGTTTGGATGGGTAGGACTCTTTATAGAGCTCTCACAAGGCCTCCTTGCCGAGCTCACAATCCCCGCCTTCTTTATCAGTGAAATCCTGCCTGGGTTGGCAGTGCAGGCAGGCAGAAGGGGGTGGGCTATCTCTTCTCTGGTTGCCTGGGAGAATTTGCTCCTGTGTGATTGATTTCTCCTAGGGCTCTCAGGGCAGAATAGAAAGTTCTGGCCAGGTGGTCAGCTCACAGGAAGGTATTTTAGGGCAGTGCAGGTATGAGTTCTAATTCTTCTTAGCTGTTAGTATTAGGCTTTTGTCTGGGTGTGCAACCTGGCTGAACACGGTGTGGTCTTTCCCTGGGCCACATTGTGACAGAACTGGGCTGGAATTCTAGCCCTCTAAGTACTAAAGGACTCTGTCTCTCAGGAGAATGTGGTGAAGACAAGACTGTCATTTGGTTCCTACCTGCCCCTTCAGCCCCATCTTAGAGTTGTGTAGCTTTGTGGCTCTGGTTTCAGACTCTTGAAGGTTGCCTCCCCACTTGTTAATTGTGTGACTGTGCCATATTTATGTGACTTGTCTTTGTAATGGGATGTGGTGGATTGCAAAGGGTCTCAAATTTCTTTGTAGATTCATCCATTAAAAGTGGAGTGTATTTTCCCACACCCTTGAAACTGGGCAGGCCTTATAATTTGCTTTGATAGAATGTAGTGGCATTGTTGATGTGTGAGTTCTGAGCCTAGTTCTCAAAAGGCTTTGTAGATTTTATTCTCACTCCCAGAACATTGCTGCCATGTGGCAATGTTGGTTGACATTTTTGTTCTTTAGATAGGAGATCCCAGCCATTCCACATCAGATCGCACAGAGAATCATGAGTGTATAAGTAATTGCGCTCGTCTACTAAATTATTTTGGGGGGGTTGTTTGTTATATTGCAGAAGCTAACTGAAATAACAGAGATATTGTTACCTACTTTGGAGCGTTGCTGTGAGATTTACATGACGATGTGCACTTACCCTAGCATCTAGCACACAGTGAGCTAGTATGCTGTTACAATTAACATTAACATGGGGGCACTTACTGTTTTTTATTTGGGTTCTAGTCACCCTGACCTTTCTTCTCTTCCTCCTCTTTTTGTATACCAAATTCTTCCTTTTCAGGGCTTTCATAGTTAATTCTTTCCATTTGGAATGGCCCATCCCTGCTGTCTTAGTTTCATGGTTAAAGTCTCCTCTCCTCCATGGAAAGGCCTTTTCTGATCACTCTGGAAACCATCCTTCCCTTCTTTTCCATTCTTCTTTCTTCTCAGAGAGTTCAATTGTCCAATTTATTGATTTCCTTGATTATTGGCTATCTTCTCTTCTAGGTTGTAAATCCCTTGAGGGCAGTAAATGGGCCTGTTTTCTTTCCTATTTTATCCTTGCTGCCTAGCACGGTGCTGTGTACAGCAGGCACTCGATTTTTTCTGAATGAGTGAAAAGGCATCTGAAGCAGTATGAGTTTGAGGTTGGTGTCAGGCTTCCAGCAAAAGGAAAATAGCCAGGTTAGGGTTTCAGACAGAGGAGACTCTGAGTGCTGCTTCCTCTAATTCCTATAGCCATTTTGGTTTGTGTCACCCTCTCATGATGGATCAAACATGTTCCTTGTACTCTGACAAGGTATGAGCTTCTTTTAAGAAAGGAACTGAGTTCCTGAGAGCCCATAGCACATCACCAGGCATCCAGTAGGGGATTAACAGAAGTTTATTGGATATATAAATGAATGGACAGACAACTGAATAAATGAATGCAAAGAAGGATGGACAGATGGATGAGAGGGTACTTACAACTGCAAGCATTTATGGAAAACAATGTTTATTTCTTTTTTCTAATAAAGGATAACACATTTCCAGTCAATCAGTAAAAGGTCATAAAAGTATAAAAATGTACTAAGTACAATCATTAGCATAATATTACAGGAAAACTTTTTCCCTTAAGATGGCATGTTGGATGGTCACAGTTGGTTTGGTTTCATAGGTGGGCAAGAGTAAGTTACCAGCTGTCTCAGATGGCCCAAGGCTGAGGTGTTTCCTAGGATGTGGGCCATTCAGTGCTAAACCATGGAAAACCCCAGGCAAACTGTGATGGTTGGTCACACAATAAAGAGAGCGACATGCAATGTCAGGTATGGTTCTGCATTTAGGTACTATGGTCATTTTTACAACTTTCCCATCACCTTGTTTCCCCTTAGCTCTGACATGCAAATCCCTGTGTTATTACTGAGGGTGTTACAGCTTTCAAAGCGTTTTCAAGTCCCCTTTGTAATTTTGACTTGATCCTTATGTCAAGCCTAGAAGGTAGGGCAGTTCTAACCTAATTTGCAAGTGTGGTATCTTGCTTCAAGGCTCCTGGCTCCTAGAGAGTACAGAAGCAAAGATTCAAACCCAGATCTCCTGAGGCCAGTGTTCTTCCCACTACTATGTTCTCTGAAACATCCTACCTGTCTCAATCTGACTTTCAAGAGTAGGTAGGAATCAAATGGGGAAAGGGAGGACCCGAGATCCAGGTTTTGGCTCAATCCTCTCATTTGGAATGATTACTATCATTACTGCTTTGCCTGATGTGTTCACCTGCTGCTTCTCTGACAATCTGCATATAGGATTCTCCTGTTGGCCATTATTGGCATCATTATGTGACATAGCCAGTAAAAGAGATTTAGTGTACTGGTTCCAGGGATACAATGCTTCAAATGATCCTTCCAGTTCAGGTTTGTCAGCAGGATGGTGAGAGGATGAGCTCAGTCTGCCATTTGCCAATTTGATTGTTGAAATTTTTTTGTACATCTTTGCTGAGAAGTTACTCAAGTGATAAGTCAACTTGTGGGGTGGTTATGACTCTTAGGCTCAAATACTTGTCACAAGTATTGCATCCATCCCTAATATACAGGGATTTTACTTAATATATAGGTATTACCTTAATCACTGCAATACACTGGAGATGAAGTACCTGTGTGTATGGGTCTCTTCCAAAACTTTAACTCTTGGAACAATGAGATGAGGTGATGGCTTGACAAGCCTAATAACTTCCATATCCTGAGAGAGTGCCTGGGTAGATAGATCTCTTGGAATCTTGGAAAATTATTCCTCACTTGTGTTGGCCACCTACTTACCTAGAGGGTCACAAGAATGTCTCTGGGGTAAAAAATTTTAAAACTCAATCTATTAGAAACAGCTTCCTTATAAAAGTTCTGTTTGCATGATGTGCTGCCTGGCAGCAGGAGAAAGCTAGAGGTTGACTGGTTTCCAGTCCTTTTCATAGCCCTTGAAGCCAGCACTTTTCCAAGGAAGTCAAGCCTGGTCGGGAGACTGGTATATCCTTTCCTCCATGAAGAGGAAGAGTCATGTGTTAATTAGGCTATTGATTGAGTGGCTTCCTCTGAGTTTGTACAGATTTCTGCAGGCCATTCATATGGTCAGTGAACTCTGGGATCTGCGATGACTGCCTTTGCTTGAGGGCCTGTACTCATCAGTCTTTTTACTTGAGTAGGCTCCTGAAGCCATTGTCATACTGGGCCCCAGAAGCAGGTATTCCCTGGATGAGAGTTTAACTGAGGAATCCCCTGGGCATGGGTGATCCTTCAGATGGTCTCTGCTGCATTTTTCTCCATGAAGCTCCCAGTCTTCCTTGCACTTCCACTTGTGAGGGCTAGAGTTCTTTGGGGTGCTGGCTCTGAAGTCTTGTTTGGAGACAGGTGGCACTGGACGATGAGTGCACTGACCCTCTCCAGGAATAGGGATAGGCCTCTGTCTGCTTCTCCAACTCTGGATTTCTAGGTCTCTTTTGTCTGTGGGGAGTTTGTCAATTTTCTGAGCTTTTAAGATCAGAGACTTCCCATAAGTCCCTTGCAGAGATAGGAAAAAATACCTGGTAGGAAATAACAGAATGAAAGTACTTGGATTTTTGTTGACTTCTTGAATTCCAGCATTGAAAACAGTCTTAGAATCCAATTCCCCACACCGGGCAAGATCCTTTTTGTTACACTCCTGACTGCTGCCTAGGCATCTCTGGTATTGGGGAGTTCAACAAAATATATTCAACAAAATATAATAGCTAACATTTATTAGGTACCAGAGCTATCCTAAGTGCTTTGGACATTACCTCATTGCATTCTTCCAACAATCCCATGCAGTTGGTACTTTTGTTTCCCCCTGTGTACAAATTAGGAAACCAAGGCACCAAGAGATTAAGTGATTTGTTCAGAGCCACATAGTAAACGGAACTGTGATCAGAACCAAGCACTCTGGATCCCAAGGCTTTTATCTACCATATAAAGGTGGTCCATCCTATTTCTGGGCTATTCTAATTCAGGCAAATGTACTTGCTTTGTAATGTCAACCCTTTGTGGAACTTACTAATTTTTAAGTAGTTTCTAAATACATACTCTTTCCCTGAATCTGTGGGCTGACTTGACAGCATCACTGTATTATCACTATTTGCTAGATGAAAAACTTGAGGCCCCAAATGACAAGAAGGATTTCCCAAGGTCTCCAGAGAAATTAATTGACCTCCCTGATGTCAGGGAGAAAGGAACACTTGAGTTAACCAAGTTGAAGGTAGTGGACTCTGGAATTGGGAGTCTCAGTGTTTAGAATCTTTCTCTATTCCAAGTTTAGGGAAGGAAGGAGAGGAGGTGAGTAAAACTATATGGTGTATGGAGAAAGAATCACACTATTACACCATCTTGTGATACTGGACAACTCATGTTCCTTCCTTTGGTGTCCATTTATTAACCTAAAATATAATTCAGTTTGTCAGGAGAACACCCATGGTCTTTTCCAAAAATAATCCTTTAAAAAGTTTTATTTCTAAAGCCTTGTAGAAAGGCTTCATCCTTCCACTATTGTCTAAGAGCTTTAGGGTGACCTCACAGTGGGCAAGGAATTTCTGAAGACAGCGGTAGGTCCTGTAGAATCAGGACTCTCATTCTTTCTCTTCTCATTGAGTGAGGCAGTACAGGTGGCCATGTATATGTTTTAGGAAAGATTCAATTTCTTGGAAATTTGAATTTTCTCGGTTTAAACCTTTCCCCCAAGCTATAACTTTTCTTTCTCCATTCATTTATTTAACAAATATTTGTAAAGTCCCTACAATAGGCCAGACCCCAAGGGATTAAACTGTGACCAAGACAAGGTTCTTGCTTTCAAGTAGCACATAAATAGACCTATAAATGGAGAGAACAATGAGCATGTCAAACACCCAATCTAGTGTGAGAGAACTTCCTTGAGAAGGAAATATGTAAGCTGAGGATTGAGAAATGCATAGGAGGTAGTCAGGCAAAGAGAGAATGAGAACAAAATCCTGGGCACAGTGGCTGCAGTACAGAAAGTAAGGACAAAAGTGGGAAAATATGCCACAGAAGGGGTTGGTAGGGCCAGAGCAGGCAAGGAGTGTGGCCATGTTTTGTTTTTTGTGCTTTATTGTGATAGCCTTGGGAAGCCCTTGGGAGGACATAAACAGATGATGACAAGATTACACTTTGACAGAGTGATAATCACTTAGAGCAAACCCATAGGAGACTATTGAAGTAATTTGGGGTAAAAAGATTAGACGTGGAAATAGCAGATGGGTTTGAGAAATATGTAGGGGATAAAACTGTGGTGACAGGCCAGATATGAGGTAGTAGGTGGTATCAACTCCCCGGGGTCTGTGCTGGTCCTACACTGAAGGAGAGAACTCTGGAAGAGATCTAAGTTTCTTTGATGGTGGTGCTGATAGACCTCTATAATTCATGATTTATCCTCTATCAGTTTCCTCAGACTAACCATGCCTAGTGGTGGTGATGATAGGTAGCTAGAAAGGAGTATCTGGAATTCAAAAGAGAGGTTTGGCCTGGGAATTTATATTGGAGATTTGTCTGTTAAAAATGATATTTAACTTCACAGTAATGGTTGCTATGTCTATAGAAAGAATATAAGTTAGAGGACAGAAGAACCTAAGATCAAGCCTGAACATCCACTGTGTCAAGGACACAAACCAGCAAAGGAAACAAAGAAGAAATAGGAGAAAAACCAACAAAGTGTTGTTACTGAAGCCAAGGAAAGAGTGTTCAAGGACTGTTATCCTCTTATAGCTAATTAAAAGCTGCTTTATGTTGTAAAGTTAGCATGTTAGTTTCTTTTGTTTTATCTATAAAATAATTTACACGTTCCTAGTTTAAGAGAATCTGTACAATTCTTTTATACTGCTTGAATTAATTAGACCAAGATTAGTGAGGTCACAGCTAGTGGGCTAATTATTACAAGCTTGGTGAGTGAAATCAATCTCCATTATGATAAGTATAGCTTATAACTTTAAGTGAACAAATAATTTTCTGTGGCAAACATTCTATTGTGTAGATTTCTATAAGAAACAGTTTTGTTTTAGGGTTAGAAGTCTTTAGTCCTTGAAACTATTAAAATAATCTTTTCTCTATCAGAGGAAATCTGTTTTTCTTAGTAAACAACATTAAGCAGAAATCCAATATTATGATGATAAAAAATGAGCGAAGATGTAACTTATGTGCTATGGTAATTAGCAAGTAAATATTTGCTAACTTTTTCCTAACTTGTCCCTCATCTGTTATAACAAGCTGTAATATTGAAGGCTTGTCTTTTCAAAACAGGTGTCAACAGTCTTCATACTTTTCAAGGATCCTCATCAAACTGGTTGCTTTTGGCTCTGTTTTTCAACCAAGGGTAAGACAAAGAATATAGGCTGATAATTTTCTTTCCGTACCCTAAATATGATACAGAACAGGGGAGCTCCGTCCTTGGCTAGTGGTGATCCTAACTGTTTTACCCAAAAGTGTGAAAAAAAAAACTACTTAACCCATAGTTTGATCCCTTTTCCAATGAGGGCAAAGTCTTCATAGTCTCTCCCAAGGGGTTGGGCTGAAGAAGGGGTGGGGTGGGCAACATGTCCTCTGAAGCTTGTACTTGTTCTTAATTGTTTGTTGCTTTTCACTCAAGCTGCTCTATCGATACTAGTCACTTTCGCCTATATTATGATCACGGTTATGTTTGAATTGTCTATTGGATTGCAGGCTTCTTGAGAACAGGGTCCTATTTTATTCATGTTTCTGTTCTTCTATCATCTATTGCTCATTTATCTTAGAGTGCAGCCTCTGTAACAGGAACTTGCTAAGTATTGGTTATATGACAAGGAGGATACCTTCTGTCCAGGAGTTAATGGTCAGATAGAGATAGATAATTTATAACAAATGGCTAAAGGCAGTGACAGAGACATACTCAGGTGATGGGAACATATAAGAGAGGGGGACATGTTTCCATCTGAGGAAGGTAGTTGAAATCATGGAAGGGTCAGAATTAGGCCTAAAATGTCAAAAGATGGGGAAGCTTGGTAATAGAAAGTGCATTCCAAATAGAAGGAAGAGCATGAACAAAGGCAGAAGGGCATGGGCCTTCAGGGAAGTACAAGAAGTTTGGTGATGTGGAGCCCAGAGTATGAATTAAGAGTTGAGGGAGGGATGAGGTTGCAGAGGCCAGCAGGGGCCCAACAGGGAGGCCATGCACACACGCTTAGAATTCAACTAATATTGTGTTTGCCATCTAGGTATCTTCAGCTGCCAACCTTTCATCAGAGGTCAAGGTTCTGAGCTGGCTTAGGACAAGGAAATGGAGACCAATCTAGATTAAGCAAGCTGCCACATTTATTGAAGTAAGGCTGGCTATGGCTCTCTGCCTAATTTTGAATTAGGAAAAGTCTGCACAAAGTTGAGATAATCTGTTTACTATAGCTTATGATAAGGTGGCTGAATTTCATTGTTCAGAGTGGCAATATCTTAAGGATGGAAAGGGGCTAAGTCCTGCCCACAGGTACACAGTCAAGTTCACTGACTGTTCTGACTAAAGTATGGGCTGCAGAATAGAACACTGGCCACCAAATTGGAATAATCCAGCTCCCACTGTGATTTGTGGACACATTATGGTCCTTCGTGGGATTTAGATGTCCCATGGGCAAGTGGGACTAGAACTATATATAGCTCTGCCTAACTTCTACTGATGGTAAAAAGCAAAACAAAGTGCTAGATAGTATGTGGCAAGAGTGATCTTCAAAATTTCGTGCAAAATTTGAATTCTTAAAAAAATTCTAAAGCTCTGAAATGCTAAGACTTGATCTTTTCTGGTGGCAATGATAGGGTTAAATTGAGAAGGTCTTTCTCCCCATGTTTTACCTGGTTTGCTGCAGTTGCTTGCCTGTCCCTGTAGTTTGAATTTTGAGACTCCTGAGTTAATAACAGACTGAAAAGCTTTTTAATTTATAAGGCAGGAGGGCAGGACTTATCATTTTTAGATATCACGACTAAGGCTATGCCCATTGGTGACTTTGCTACTCTGTGACTGACTGGGAGCACAGTCCATGTTATGTCCCTCTAATTCATTGTTCTCTCTGTCCTAATACTCTGTCTTCAAAACAATAGCCTCAAGGTTCCCAGCAGGAGTCAAACTCCTGACTCTCGGCTTATGAAAATGGCTTATAAAGGGGGCACTGGTAGTTCTAGGAAGAAAACAACCCCTGTGCTCAAACCTTGGGAGAAGAGCCATGACCGGTGTGAGGAAGCAGACGAGGTAGAAAGTGGGGTCTGAGAGCTGGCCTTCCATCACCCAATAAGGATTGGTGGGACTGTTGCAGTTGACACAGGTGGCATTGTAAACAAGGGATACCACGAAATACATCAGGAAGCTGCCTAAAAGAACAAGCCCGTGGATAATGGTCTGTGGAAGAAAAGGAGAAGTAAACGTTGTTGAAAATATACTTAGATCAGGGGGCAGTGCGATCATGCCACTTGACTTTGTTTTAAACTTTTCCGGGGGGAATGCAACACACACACAAACTTTAAAAAACATATATTTTAGTGGATCATTAGAAAGCAAACACTCACATTGCTATCACCCAGAACTAGAATACACATACCCAAAGAACCCCTAAAGATTCTGTCTCTCCTTTGACTTTGGTGATACTTAAAAGCCATTCTTTGTAGTTTCACTGCCTATGTACTCTGTTTTTTCAGCTGTTAAATACAATTCTATTTGGTGTGAAGAGCCTATTTGTTTCACATATGGCTGCAGTTTATTCACGTCCAAAGCAGTACAGTGTTCTGTTGTCTGGTCTCATTTGTCTTGTTTGTTTTTGTATTTCCCCCCCCTCTTATCCTCTCTTAAATTTAATATTTTGTACAATTTCATTTTCTCCTTTTACTGGTTTGAAAGTTATACATCCCATTTCTATTCTTTCAGTGATCACTCAATGATAATAGGTGAGTGATAATAAGCAATCTTAATAATCTTAATAATAAGATATCATCTTAATAATAAGATGATAATAAGCAATCTTAACTTACCACAGTCTAAAGGTATGTAACCACTTTTCCCTACTCCTGAATCATAGAAGGGCTTCAGAGCACTTTAACTGTTTACCTTCCTCTTGACTTATATTTTATTGCTACGCATATTGCATGTTTTAATTCTATCATTTTTTAAAACACACAAATTGGTATTATAGTTGAATATAGTCAATATTCATTAAAATTCATTTCATGTTTACCACTTTCTGTGCCTTCATTCCTTCTTGTACCTTAGACTTTCCATCTGAGATTTCTTTCCTTTTGCTTTAAGTACATCCTTTAGAATTGCCTTTAGTGGGAATCTGCTAGTGGTCTAATCTCATGCTTTATTTCATTCTCATTCTTGAAAGATATTTTTGATGGATATAGAATTCTTGTTTGGCAGGGTTTTAAAGCATATTTAAAATAGCATTCCATTGTATTTTGGCTTTTTGTTTTTTTAAAGATTTTATTTATTTGAGAGAGAGAGCATGCATGAGCACTCACAAGTTGGGGGAGGAGCAGAGGGAGAGGGAAAATCAGACTCCCTGAGAAGCAGGGAGCCTGACATGGTATCATGACCTGAGCCCAAAGGCATTGAGCCATTGAGCCACTCAAGTGCCCCATCTTTTGGCTTTTGTTGTTGCTATACGTACATCTTTTATGTGTTCCTTAGAAATTTTAGTATCTTAAAATCTGGCTACTTTTTTTTTTCCTAAGTAGGCTCCATTCTCAGCATGGAGTCCAATTCAGGGCTTGAACTCACGACCCTGAAATTAAGATCTGAGCTGAAATCAAGAGTCAGATGCTTAACCAACTAAGCCACCCAGGCATCCCTAATCTGGCTACTTTTATGGTTTTTGTTTTTAGTATTCTATAGTTTCCTTATGATAAGGAATAATAAGATATGTATTTCTTTTTATTTATATTTCTTGGATTTTGCTGATCTTGAATCTGTGGATTAATATCTTTCATTATGTCTGCAAAATTGTTAAGTCACTATCTTTTCAACTATTGCCTCTGTCTCATTTTATCTCTCCTTTACTTCTTAGACTCAGATCAAATGCTTTTAAGACCTTTTAGGATACTACCCTATCGTCTATACATTTTATACCTTTTCATAATTTTCATTACTTTTCTTCTGTTTTATATTGTGCATAATTTCTTTTGACCAATTAAAATTTTTTCCCTTTAGTTTTGTCTAATTTTTTGTTAAGACAGCCACTGTATTTTATTCTTTAAAGTTTTCTTTGATCTCTTTTCAGATTTGCTAGGTTGCTTTGTATGGTTTACTAATCCCTGCAGATATTGTAAAGCTTAAACAAAGGGGATCCCAGGATGGCTCAGCGATTTAGTGTCTGCCTTCAGCCCAGGGCATGGTCCTGGTGTTCCGGGATCGAGTTCCACATCAGGCTCCCTGCATGGAGCCTGCTTCCTTCTCTATGTCTCTGCCTCTCTCTCTCTGTGTCTCTCATGATTAAATAAATAAAATCTTTAATAAAATAAAATTATAAAAAAGCTTAAACATAGATTTTCTATAATTTATATCTGAAAATACCAACACCTGAAATATGTTTCTGGTTTGTTTTTGAACCTCACTAAGGGGTTTTTGTTTCTTTGAGAGTCAGTTATTTTTGAATATGTTAGGCTCATTGCCCTTGAAAAGTTGATAGGGACAATTTGAGGCATAGGATGAAATACCTTTTTTTGCGGGAGGGTGTTTATTTTGCAATGTCCTTGGAAACTGTCAATCTTGGGTCACTTCAGACTGGATTCATACATCAAAATTTAGCTCACCAAGGTGATATAAACCTGGGCTGCAAATCTGTATGAGGCCAGTCCATGGTTCATTACCTAGGACAGGTCCTTTGCAGGGAGAATCAGTTTAATGGATTCTGATTCTTTCTGCTCTGTTCACAGAGGGAATAATCCCTGCAGCACCTGCTGGGAAGGTAGAACAGGCAGGTCCATTTTGGGTGTAGCCTTACCCTGAGGTGTATAGCTTTGGGGTCCTAATTTAATGTGGTCTCTTATTAGACTCCTGCCTTGGGTACCTGGGTTCGATTTCTGAATCTTTTGCTCAGTCAAGCTGCCAGCAACAAAGTTCTTTTGGGCAGGGTTGCAAAGATCCTCAAAGAAACAGGTTTTAGCTCTTCTTCTAGAATCCCCCCTTCTCTGAGGTTTTTGTCTCTACTATTCCATCAGCTTTTTGGCTAAAATAATCCTGATACCAAAATAGGCATAGACGGTTCAAGGAAAGAAAAATCCTAGACCAATTCCACTAAATGAAAATTCCAAATAACTTATTGATAAGTCATCTCAGTACTGTGTTAAAGATAATAAAACCCAACCAAGGCACTTTCATATCCTGGTAGTAGACTACAAACTCTAAGTTGATGCTGTCACTGTGGACAGCAATTTGAAAATAGCTAGAGGAGTTTAAGTACTCATCTGCTATGATACAATTTCACTTCAAAGTATGATGCACCCTGGAAATACTGTTGCATGTGTATATACAGAGACATGTTGGTTACAGTATCATTCTTACTAGCAGGAAAAAAGCAAGGGGAAAAAGCCTAAATATTCATCAACAGAAAAATAAATTGTGGCATATTCATACAATAGAACAGTTAAAATAAATCACCAAAGGTGAATCTATCAACATAGGTGAAACTCCAAAGCATTAAGTCTAATGAAAAAAAAAAGTTAAGGGATAGATATACATGATAAAGAAGTATTCATAAATATATATGTATAAGATATGCTTAAGAATGATGAACCCTGAAATTATGTTCAAGACCAAAGATAAAACGTTTGCAAGGGAATCATGGGTGCTTTAATTGTATGTTAGACTTAATTTTTTATAAAAGTGAGAGGAAATATGACAAAGTTAAATGACAACACCCTGGATGTTGCGTATATGAGTTTCCTTGAATTTAATTCTTGTTTTATTTTCTTTGTTTTATTTTTTAATAATAAAAGCATTAGCTTCATCCCACAAGTTTGCATATATGGTATTTTTACAGTCCTTCAGCAATAATTTCCATTATGATTTACTCTTGACCTCATAAGTTATTTAGAAGTACATTTTGAAACTTCGAAGCATGTTAGGTTTATTTGGCTATCTTTTTATTGCTTGTTTTTAATCTAAATGCATGTCAGAGAAGATCAGGATTCTTTCAAATTTCTTTGTGATTTAGAATTTGGTCTTTTTTACTTTTGGTATACAGTTTGTATATTTTTGAAAAGGTATATATTTACTTTTTGGGACAGGATTTTTTATATTAGATCTAATTATACTAAATCAAATGTGATAATTTATTCAAGACTTCTGTATCCTATTTGGCCTATCTGTTTCTAATAGAGTTGTATATAAATCTCATACCACAATTGTGATTTTTGTCTATTTGTCCTTATATTTGCTGGATAAAAAATTCAATCTGATAATTTCTGCATTTATTTATTTATTTATTTATTTATTTATTTATTTTTTAATTTCTGCTTTTAACAGGTGAACTAAATTCATTATTATTTATTATGAGTACTGATATATTTGGATTTATTTCGAACACCTTACTTTGTGGGTTTTTTTTTTTTTTGCCATCATTTGTCTTTGCTCTTACCTTTTTATCTTTCTTTTATCCTGCAAAATTAATAGTTTCCTATATTCCTCTTATTTCTTTCCATCCCTTTATGGTTATCCTTAAGTTTTGAAGGTAATATTTCCAAATATTAAGAGACCTTAAATTTTGAGACACACTAAATAAATATGGGTTTTTTATAGAAAAATTGTTAGTTAAATGCATATTCCTATTCTCTTCCTATTAATGATGAAGACTTTAGCGTAAATTGCCTATTGAACAGCTCTTTCTTACCATGATGTCGTTTCTTACAGTTTAAGATTTTATGTTCTTGCAGAAGTATGTTTCTTCTTTTGCTGAGGACCTGGGAGTGGCAAAACTTACAATGTCGGTTTATCTGAAAATGTCATTTATTTACCCTAGTTTTAAGTGGTATGTAACTGTTTATTTCCCTTCAGGTCTTTGAAGATAATTACTCCATTGCTTTCTGGCTTCTATTGTTTGTCAGTTTAACTGCTATTCCTTTTCAACTAATTTGTCCATAGCCTCTGGTTGACTTTAAGATGGTCTCATATACACTGTACAGTTTCATTGTGCTGTATCCAGGTGACATATTAAGCTTTATTTTGATTAATTTTCTCTCTCAGTGATTATCTCCTTAGGTACTGCTTTTCTACCATTTTTTCCCTTCTTCTGTAACCCCTATTATGTGGATGCTAGAGTCATTTATTCTAGCCATTATTCCTTTGAGTTACTTTCTCAAATTTGTGTGGCATTCCAGATGAGTTCCCAATATTTTCCAATTTGGTAGTTCACTGCCAGAGTCCAATCTAGACTGGATCCCATAAATTGCATTTTTAATTTCAATGACAAAACTTCATTTTAAAGAGTTTTAAATGTTTTCATAGCTTGGCTCAGTTCCCAGTAGTAAATGACTCTTCTTCTACCTTCTTCATGGCTTCTGATAAAACTGGAATTCCAAATAGCATGTCATTGTCAACTTTTCTCAAGCTTGCTTTCTTGAGTGGGCAACTCCAGCCCAGACCTTGGACCTAGCATAAACAGGGCTCCAATCTTCCTTATCCCATAGGAACCAGACTCCCCATTGCCACAGTCAGTTTCTTGTCCTGGATTCTGGAAAGCCTTCAGTTTGAGTCAGTGCAGTACCTCTGTCTCCCCTGCCTCATTGTTTTTCAGCCTCTTCTGGTTCTGGTGTTTCTTGAAGAAATTTGTCCTGTACTTGAGCTTGGCTATACCTTTTTGGTTTTATCACTTTTTTCTATTTGTCTTTGACATGAATTGGAACAGAGGGCATCTGTGATCTGGAAGTTTGCTTGGGTGGTTCTTACTAGCTATTGCACATCATGTCACAGGCTGATCTAATTTAGTTAACACTCATTACTTTGCAATAAATATATGTCAGGTGATGATCCTGTATACCTTAAACTTACACAGTGCTATAAGCCAACTATATCTTAGTAAGACTGCCCCCCCCCCAAAAAAAAACCCCATAAAGGGCTCTGGGAGGTTAAATGAGGTAATACATTAAAAATCATATAAAGAGATACTTGATATATGATTTTTAAGCTCTTTGTTTTTATAATTATCATTGACTACAAGAATTTAATGAGAAAGCCAGCATTTCCTTTTTAGATACTGAAATGTGATATTTGTACATGCTTGAGATGTGTTTATGTGAAGGTAGCCTTCTAATCTTTTACACTGAAATTAAATGGGAAGCATATACCTCCCTAACACAGCCTCAAGTACAGTCAGGATACTGTTTTTCTCATCTCTGAAACCTCTGATTTTTTTTTTTTTTAGTCAAAAATATCTACTTTTGCAACAAATTGTCTTAGGGGTTATAAGTCTTGGTTTTATAATCCTGGATAGAGGATAAGCAAATTGAGGCCAGGGACTTAATCTTTTCTACCTCTCTCATCCTTGTACAAGTGGGACAGGTAGAAGTTCAGTGGTCATTTACTGAGTGGATCAATGATACAGAGTAAAACAACTCAAATTTTTTAGGTCAAAGGGGCTCTGAAGTGCTTACCCAGGTCTTCATTTCCATTGCCTGATGTAAGAGGATTGTGGTGAGGGAGATGGTATTGATGGGTGTCCCAAAGGTAAAGACGTCAATATCTGAATCCTTGTAGGTCTGCAGAGGAGGAAAAAACAAGCACTTCAGATGTTCCCTGGGATTCAAAGACTTGGTTTTGACACAGTGATAATGTGTCACAGGATCACAAGCAATAGTGAAGGTAGGTGTCATGGGAGGGGAAGGAATGAGAAGAGATACATAGCTGCCAACCATAGAAACAGACAAGATGAGGAGTGAGTTAATAGGGCTGAATTCTTTGAAACACAATTGTAGCAGAAACCATGAGGGTATTCCAGAACATCGTGGAATGAATGAACAAAGAATTTATTGAGCAACCAGCAGGCACAATGCCAACTACTGAAGATACTTTAGTGTCCACCTTCAAGGAGTTTATAGTCTACTAGACAAGACAAATGTGGTACAATTTAAGGGGATAAATGATACAATGGTATAAGGTACACAAAGTACCCTGGGGATACAGAAGATAAGATATAACAGCTGAGGCCATGATAAGAGGAACTAACTTCCTTGAAAAGAGAGAGAGGAAAGGTAGACCAGGCAAAGGTGAGAACCTGAGGGTGAAAAGTTCAAATAGACCTATATGGTAGGTTTGTTGAGCGCATAGTAGGGGCAAATAATGAAGCAGGAAAGGCAAGCAGATTCCTGGAGAGAGAAGGTATTGTAAGATAGGAAACTCAAATGAAGCAATGACTGCCCACTTGGCCCATCTTGTTTCTAACTGCAAAAGAATGTAAGGCAGAGTAGACACCACAGTTTAGCAGTTGCCCCACATTCTGGTCCAGAAGAAACACAGCTATACTTTACAACTAAATTCTCACTCTTTAAAAAAAATTTTTTTTAAAAAGATTATTTAGAGAGAGAGAGAGAGAGAGAGCAAGCAAACAAGCAGAAGGACCGGGAGAGGGACCAGCAGAGGGAGAGGGAGAGGGAGAGGGAGAGGGAGAGGGAGAGGGAGAGGGAGAGGGAGAGGGAGAGGGAGAGGGAGAGGGAGAGGGAGAAGTGGACTCCTCGCTGAGCAGGGAGCCCAGTGTGGGGCTTGATTCCAGGACCCTGAGATAATGACCTGAGCCAAAGGCAGATGCATAACTGACTGAGCCATCTAGGCACCCCTAAATTCCTACTCTTTAAACTGGGAACCAAATTGAGATGGGGCAGGTATCCTTTGCTTTTATTTCAGGTAATATAGCATCCTTTATTATCAGAACTTCCTTCCTGAACGCATGCTACCTTGACATCGGAAACACAAATCTAAATGTAAATCAAGGGTTGTAAATTCAAATACTTTTAGTGTTCAAGTAAGAAATAATAAATGAGTGAAGAGGGCTTAGGTATAAGACAAAAGGGAGTGGTAGGGACTCTGGCAAACTGAGAGTCTATTCTGGATTTTTCCTATGTGGGAAAAATGACCCAATATAATGATAGCTTCCATTTTTTCAAAAACTGGCAGAAATTGAGATGTTTCTGTAAAGCACTCTGATTTTTCAGATACTGACTTGGATGTCGCCTGCAGATCACCTATTTGGAGTCTCTGTGCTACAGTGCCCAGAAAGACACTACTAGTATATGAACAGGACCAGTTCCACTCTGTGATTTGTATGGCTAGAAGGGGATTATACAACTTACCAGGTAAGGAATGAAGAAACAAACAAGGCTTTGGTAGAATGCATCCATTATAGAAATCCAGAAAGTCATTGGGTTGTAGCACTGCCAGGAAAGAACACATCAACCACCAACTTTCTTGTGCTACCTGAACAGACAATATGGCACTTACAATGTTCTTATCTTAGAGGCAATAGAATGGAACAATTAAGAGCACAGACTGGGGGTGACAGACCTTAATTCAAGTCCCAGCTGTGCCACTCACTAAACTGCTTTGATAATTGGTTCTCCTTCCATAAAAAGAATAAAAACACTAACTGTCTCCTTGGGTTTCGAGAAATCTAAATGCAATTGTACTTTAGTACCCAGTAAGTGTTCTGTTATCAATAACTATCATTCATTAGCACATTGCTAGTGCTAATACACACTTGGCATATTTAGAGATTCTAAGGTTTCTACATAGCATCTGAAAGGGAGTTCTCTATTACAGCCCAGGATCATGGATTCCCAAGAGACAGGGCTCAATGGCTTCAGAGACAAGTATTCTCATTTTGTGCTTCATTATTCCTGCCTTCCCTGGAAAAGTAAAACTGTTCTCAGTTTATGTTTTTGCTACATTAACTTCTCTTACTGTTAGATACCCAAGGAATACATTATACATCTAGCACACCTATGGGAAAGGAAAAATCAGAAGACCTATAGGTATATAGGTCTCTCTTGCCTGATATGCTATGGTTGCTGTGTTGCTCTCCTCCCATTTTTAAGTTAGGACTGGGCTTAGTTCTTAGTTGGCTGTATACAACATATTACTAGCTCTCAAACACCACATCTGGCTTGGTTCTCCTTTCCCCCAGGCACAGAGGTACTCTCATGAATTTCAATATCCCTCTTCCCAGAGCGCTTTCTTCAAGGCAGTCAGGTTCTCTGTCTCTTCTGTCCAATCTCTGAGCTGTGTCTGTGCTAGCCTGACCACCTGGAGTGCCGGTGGTCTGACTTCTCCAAATCACTCAGAGTGCCAGTATGGCCTCTCTCTGCCAACCAACCAATCAGGGTGATTTCCTAGGCCTTCTTTAATCTATTGGCTACCAGCAATTCCAGACTCTGTGTAGTCTTGAGTTCTAAATTTTGTTTTCGCCGACATGAGGTAGAAGCCCTCATTTATGAATACATCACCCAGTGATGAGCAAACTAGATTTTAATCCCAGGGGTTCCCAAACCAAGACTTGGGGGTTCTGTCAAAGGCCTGGAGAAAGGGGGCCAGCTGAGGGCAATGGGATCTTTCTGAATGTCTTCTCCCTATTCAGCTAGGACAGTCCCATGTTAACATGTGGTATAATTAAGAAATAATTAAAGAAAAATACCCACTGATCTGTTCCATCACTCTTAACAGCAAACAAGAAACATGCCAGGAATGGGGAGTGGAGCTACTGGGTCACATAGTAGGTAAGAGGCAGAGTGGTGATCAGAGTGTAAGGCCCCTGGCCCCAAGTCATTGCTCTTTCTCTGACTCCTGCAGGGAGGAATTAGAGGCAAGGAGGAGCTGAGGCATCTCCATCTTACCTCAGAGTTTTGGCCATTCTTGTACAGTTCAGGCAATGCCAGGAGTGTTTCTGCAGAGATGTCTTTATCGAGGACTCCAAAGATGAGAGGAGGCAAGGAGGTGAAGAAGAGATTGAAGAATATCATCTGCCAATAATCGATCATAGTGGAGCCAGAGAAGCCACAGAAAAACTGGTACCAGAAAAGCAGGTTGACATAGCACTGCAGGCAGAGAGTATGTCCTGGTGAGTGAGGACCCCCAGGTAGTGGACACCAATGGCTGCTTAGGAGCCTCTGGCAAGTCACTACTCTGACATAGAGCTTCCATTTTCTCATCTGTGACATGCGGAGTTGTGTACGGATCAGAGATAACTAATCCTTAGAGCAGCTGCTGCTGCAACTACTACTATGCTGGTTAAGAGCACAGGTTGTGGAGGCAGAAAAGGCTGGTTTGGAATTTTCAAGTCTGTCACTTACTAGCTATGTGACCTGGAGCAAATTGCTTAACTTTTCTGTATAAAATCTTACCATCTTTCAGATGGAAACAGTGGTGCCTAGAACATGGCACAGGATACCAAAGGCAGCAGTTACGATTAGTAGTGTGGAAAGGGAAGGGAGCACTCCTCAGGGAGGGATAATAGAAAGACTGACTATGGGCAGGAAGCCTGGCTTGCTGTCCCTGCCCATCTTATGAAGATGACTTCATGAGATTTTCCCCACAATACTTTCCTAATGGTCATACAACTCAGAAAGGTGAGTTCAGAAGGGTGAATCGTCTCTCTGATTCTTGATGCTTTCTAAAGCTTTTCCCGCTCAAAACCACTCTACCTGAGATGGCTAGGTCATTAGTATTGTCTACCACACCGTGATATAATTTGGTGACTTGACCAAGGTTGTCACTTAAGCTGCTGCTCCCAGAGTTGGGACTAGAAATATCAGCCCTGTGAAATTGGCAGTTTTGTGTATAAACTAGAATGTTCATTTCTAAATGCTGGGCCAGTGTTATTTTGAAAAGGGTCACTAGAATTGTAATAATATAGACATGCTAATATTAGTAACATCAATGACTGTTACTAAAGCTTCTATTTGTGCCAGGAGTGTAGTATATATTATAGTATATTAGTGTATGGTACATTAGATGTGCCATAGACCTAATTTGTTCCAATAATCTTGAAAGATTATTATTGCTAATAAAATAGTACATATTATATTAATATCTTGATAATATTATTAGCCAGACTCAACAGGCAAAAAATCTGAGGCTTTAAGATGCTCAGTTACCTCTTGTCCAATTTTAGAGCTAGAGAGTCAGATAACTAGTATCTGAGTTTTCAATGCTCTTTCTCTTCAACCACCCCCAAACTTTTTCAATCTCCTATTGGATTATATAATATCAATGCTGACTTGAGAATCTTCTAGCTAAGGAGTGCCATCTTTTGGCTTTTCTGCCCAGGTGACCAGTGGGAAGTTTCCTGGCACTGAAAGAGATCCTGGTGTCCTGAGACATCCTAGACCTTGTATCTCTCTCAGAAGTGGGGAGAGGGCCCAGTCTGTTTACTGTGCTGCAGGTAGGTTTGAAATGTACCATGGGCAGGCTTTCAGTCCTGAGATCAACAGCAACCACTTGTGCACTTGACATGGTGGGTTTAAGAAGAACTTGAAATACTGAAGTCCCCTGGATACTAGCAGTCAGCAGCTGTGTGAGGCTTTTACTTCTCTCAATCTCTTTCTTTTTTTTTCTTTCCTTTGAGAACCTTGCCTTTCTTCTCCCTCCCCAGCTACGTGGGAAAGACAGTAACTCTTAGCTCCCTTACACACAGGTAGTTTGAATGGCTCAGATGGGCTAAGTGACTATCAAATACCCTTGGCCACTTGGGAATAGAACTGTGACTTGAGGTTGTAGAAGCCTAGGATGCCAGAGCTGGAAATAACACTGTCTTCCAGATGAGGCCAGTAATAGCAACAACAGCAATAACAATAGCAACAAAAACACATAAAGCACTTATCATGTGCCAAGCTCTGTTCTGACTCATTTGATCCACTTAACAGCCCTTTGAAGCAATCATTACTACTTTCATTTTACAATTGAGGAAACAGCCTCAGAGAGAGGTCAAGTCATTGGGCTGGGGGTAGAGAGCTAGTAAGTAACAAAATTGGAGTTAAAATCCAAATGTTATGGCTCAAGAGTTCACCCTCATAAGAAGGATATGGGAAGTGGATACTCTTGTAAAATGAATTCAAGATCTTAGACTCTAGCTCAGTCTCTTGCACTAAGGTTCAGAGTTGTTGATCTACAGCATGAGAGGTCAGTGGGATTTGTCCTAAAGTGCTATAAATGGGGAAAGTGTTGAACAAAGAATGCTGTGATTGGCAGTTTCTTCCATGGGTGACAAGGGAGCAAGTCAGCAAAGCAGAAAGTTTGCCAGCTATAGGCCATCGTCTGATATTTGCAATGTAAGATTTGGTCCTTTTGGCTCCAAGCCTAAATCTTTCCTCTCCATTAGCTTCATCTCACCAAACTGTAGCTTTTAAGTGGTACAATCTTATCTAGTAGATGCTGTGATGCTTTACCCCATTTTCATGAAGCTCCAGCCATAGTCTAAGCTGAGGGAGGAAGAGAGCAGTTGCCTGGCTGGTGTTGGAAGCCATCTGAAGCTCTGTGGCTAAGTGTAATACTTCTTCTTCTTCTTCTTTTTTTTTTTTTCCAAGTGTAATACTTCTTAAACAACTTATGTTCAAACACGGTGCTAGAGATGCTTGAACAACAGGCAACACACAACCTGGTTTGGAGTGATATTTACCTTCAAAAACTTTGGCAACCACTGGACAACAGGGTGCTTGTACCTCTAGGAGGCACTGAGGGCCACGGTAGTGAGGACATTCAGTCTGGGAGTTTAGAATATAGTAGAACTAGGTCCAGTCCTGATTCTATGACATACTTAGCTATGTGACCTGGGCAACCTCTCAGGCTTTCAGCTACCGCATCTAGAGATAGATAATAACTGTTCCCATGCCACAGGATGGATGAGCATTTACTGTATGCCTCACACATATTAACTCATTTATGCACATGATAAGCCTGTGAGTTAGGTAGTATCCCCCTTCTACAGGTGAAAAGACTGAGACACAGAGCTTAAGTAAGTTACTTAAGGCCACATTGCTGTTAGATAGCAGTTTGGGGGTGGGATTTGAACCCATCTGGTTCTAGCACATACGCTCTTAACCCCTGTGTTATACTTAGCTCTCATAGTTACATACATATGTAAAGTTCTTATTATAGTGTCTGGTATGTGGTAAATTCCCTATAGATGATGGTGATTGCTAATGCTAGTAATGCTATCCCAAAGGGTAACAAGCTGTGCTAAGTACCAAGGACACTACAGCAATCCAGGGTGGCATGGAGAGCTCTGGTGAACTAGGTGTTGGAGAACTAGCATTTCCTGAGCTCATTGCCTAACACTTCAACACAGGCAGTAGCAAAGGGTTTTAAGCCCTATTCAAAGCAATGAAACACTGCTTGGATGTCACTGGCTCATTTTTCCATAGAACCGTTCTTCCTGAATTATAATTTAATATTGCTTTTATCAAGGGTTGTTAGAAAAAGGTGCCATATAGAGGTTAATTTTCATTTCCTACAAAAATGCCACTGAAGGCAGTTTCCTGGAAGTTTTTGTGTGACCTTTTTCTAAAGGTTTGCTTGACAAATTGATCTCTGAATTTAGAGCAAAGAGAGAGTGTGCTTCCTCGAGAACTGGTCTGCTTGTTTTAACCAGGCATTTACTACTTAGCATCTTCTCCCAAGTTCCTGGTACAACTGACTTCCTTTCTTTCTGGGTTCTGCTCCATACTCCTACACATTTTTTTTTAAGATTTTATGTATTTATTCATGAGAGACACTGAGAGAGGCAGAGACATAGGCAGAGGGAGAAGCAGGTTCCTCACAGGGAGCCTGATGTGGGACTGGATCCCCGAACAGGGATCATGCCCTGAGCCAAAGGCAGACACTCAACCGCTGAGCCACTCAGGTGTCCCACTCTTACACAGTTCTTTTATAACTTCTCCATTGCCTCTGTGTTTCTACCGTAAGTCACTCACATCTCTTTTTGGAATCAGATGCAGTATATGATATAAAATTATAAATAAATGGCCTGAAATATTTTCTATAAAGACTTAGGTTGTCAAAACTCTTCCTCTTGACAGAGAAACTGGCAAATTCATAGTTCTCTCTTGCTTACACATTATCTTCTTTCCAACTGATTAGATCAAGAATCTCCTGGTGATATGTCTATAGCACCCTAACCTCCTTACAGGGAGACATGCCTAAGAAAATGTTCATAAAATCTTAATCTTTTACTATACTAGTGCTTCCCAATCTTTAAGATTCATATAAATTACCCAGGGCTTTTACCAAAAATGCCATTCTGAGGTAGTAGTAGGTCGATGATGCAGTCTGAGGATCCGCATTTCTAACTAGCATATAGGAGATGATAATGTTGCTGGTCCAGGAACCACATTTTGAGAGGTAAGATTTATGGAGACCAAGAGATGACAACTTCCTACGGGACAAATCCAGCCATAAATAAGGTTTTGTTGGGACACAGCCACATCGATTCATTTGCATGTTTTCTATAGCTGCTTTCATGTTGGTGCAGCAGAGTTGTGTAGGTATGATGGGCCCCATGGCCCACAGGCTAAAAGTATTTCTTACCTAGCCCTTTGCAGAACAAGCTCACTGAGCCCTGACCAAGACTGTCAGCTTCATGAAGCTGGACACAGATGTTCAATAATGATTTCAATAAATAGAACCCATCATTGCTGTTCTATTGTCCCAACAATATTCAGGAATTTAATTCTGAAGTGTTTCCTTCCTCCACAAGCCTTGTTAGGACCTCGCTTGTTTCCACGTCCTCTGGCTGGAATCTTTGCACCTCTGAGGGGGCATATGGAACCTGTGACGGCATCACTGAGATGGGGGCCTGCGTTTTCCTCCCAAGGAGCTACAGTGCAATAATTAATTCATTGTTCAAATTTCAGAGCAGGCAGGGTTTTAATCCCCTCTGAAATTGGTTTCGGATGTGGAAGTCATAGTTCTCCACCCTCTAATTGCAATGGGGAGATAATGCGGCATCAGTATCACAATTTCAAGCATGGAATCGGGCTAGAAATAAATACCATTTAAGCTTTGAAAGCATGGCTGGCTGGAAACATTTCCTTTTCTATTTCACAAATTTAATGCAGAGAAGAGGTTGTGCTTATTCAAAAGAACGGCTCCTTTGGAGGCAAGAAAAAAAATTATATGGGCATTTTGAATTCTGAGTAAACAGTCTTTCATGCTCAGAGTGAGTTTCAAGTTAAATAGAGTGACTTGTTTGCATAGACTTGGTGAATATTACCATCCAGTTTATCAAATTTACATTATTTTTTGTCATGCTGTTTATTTACATATACATTGAACTTTGCACAAAAATGCTCACTCTTGAGCGAGGGCAACTGTGACAGTGCCTAAATCAGGACTGGGAGAATGGAACAACGGGACAAAATGCAATTTCGCAGCTGCTACTTGGCTAATGCTTTCTCTACCATCCCCTGCTCTTAATCCTCCCCTTTTCCTTATGCAAATAGGAATCGGATTCTGTTTGGAGACTCTTGGGGATTATTCAAAGGTCCTTGAACTAGGTAATGAAAACTCAGGCCCCTTGTTCCCTTCCTTAGGAGAAGAGCAATATTCTGGCTTCTTGCAATACCCATTGTTAATCAAGGGCTTTTCAAACAAGAACCTCTGACAGTTTTAATACCTCAGTTGATGTGTGCCTGCTTTGGGCCCTTATCAACAAGATAGAAATGAACACATTTTTTAGGAGAAACAATGCTATCTTCAAGCTATGATTGTATTTGTATAGTGTTACATGCTTTCCTGATAATACCTTAGGGACAGAAGGAGTCCTAGTGTCTTCATATTATTGATGAGGAAACCAAGGCTCAGAGAGAGTAAGTGACTCTTTGAAGTTCACACAGCATGCTAGAGTCAGGCAAGACTAAAATCCAGACGACCTCCTCATTCTAAATATTTTTGCCACTAGATATTTAATGTCCCAACCTCTGTGAATTTCCTGCTGCAAAGGCTGGGGAAGCTGAAATGATACATAGAGTCTCAGGTGGAAACCATGGATTCCAGTCTTAAACCTGTACTTTCCCAGGAGGTGGGGTATGGCTCTTGCATTGGGGTGGCTCTATCTGAGGAGAAAATTGAAGATATATGTCAGGCTTATTATTTTTAAAGTCCTTTTTCCTTGTAGTCAGAAAGTAAATCTCATTTATGGAGCCCATTTAAGAATAATGACAAGAGCAATAATCATAAAACTAATGGTTGACTTGATAGGGTGATTACTATGTGCCAATCGCTTTATATACAAGCTCTTATTTAATCCTTCTAGCAAATATAGGAGGAAGGTACTATTATCATCCCCATTCAACAAATGGTAAAACTAAGGTATAGTTACCAAATATAAGAGCCTAGATTTGAACCAAATATGTTTGACTCAAGAGTCTATTCTTGTAACCACTCATGCTGCCTTCTATGTGCCAGATGTTTTCCATATAGTATGGCTAATGCTCACAATAATTTCACAAAAGTCTTAGCCCATTTTACCAAAGAAGAAATTGAGGCCCATAGAAGTGAATTACATTGCTCAAGTTCACAGAGCTAGTAGGAAAGAGTTTCAGGATTCAAAATCTAGGCCAGCCTGATTTACTCCCTTGTGCTCAGATGGTTTGTCTTACGACTGTGGTGGGAGTGGGTCCCCTGGTAGGGCCTCCCAAAGCCTTGGTGGGAGGTTGGCATAGGGCTACTCACCACATTCTTATAGAAGTAGTACACCACCATCCTGGCCAGGCGTGAGTAACACCAGTGGCCGTGCACTAGCAGCAGCTTCTTGAGGTGTCTGAAGCGGGAGATGGCAAAGTCGCTGGACATAACAGCCTGAGAGGGTAGAATAGAGAGAGACATCAGCTTCCATCCATGGCTACCAATAAGCCAAAGAATCTCCCTTGAGGGCTATGCTCGGTTTTAGGTCCATAGCTGATAGGGCCAAAAAGATCCTTTGTTACTATGTGGGACTCTAAGGTGGTTCTTTGGACTTGGATGCTTCATCTTTTCTTCTGGAAAATCCAAACCTCACTAGAATCCAAGAAAGGCAGCTTGTAAGGATCTAGTGGTCTTGCCTGGCCCTTCATCTCTTTCCATTTATCTGATAAACTGTGGCCTAAAATGTGTTAGTACCAGGCTAGAGATGCGATGGTTAACCAGAAAGTAGGGGCTTCCATGCAAGTAGTGCTCAAACCTCTCAATACCCTTGGTTGCCTCCTGTGGCAGACCATTTGTTCCATTCTCAGATGGAGCTGATGGCTGGATAGCACTTCCTTTACATGGAGCTGAAATATGCCTTCTGCTCTTGGGATTGTTCAGAACATGACATAGTTCATTAGTACTCCTTTAAGAATATGGGGTTTGGAAGTGCCTGGTTACAGATCTTGGTATGCATCTTGGTCAGGCTGTTTAACCTTTCCCTTCATCAGTTTCATCTGAAAAAAAATGGAGTAATAATTCCTAACACACAGGGTTGTGATTGTTCAAATTAATTGGGATAAAAAATGTGAGATGCCTAATACAGTACTGGCATATGGTAGGTATTCAAAAGGTAGCTTTTCTTTTATCCTCACCAACAAATTTAGGCAATGCCTCCTGTCTATACCAGTGGTGGGAATACAATTGTTAATGATTCAGAACCACAAAGTGGGGTTTGTTTTAGTGGGAAACATCAGTAGCTCAAGTTAATATGCTTGTCCCAAGCTGAATTTTGACTCAATTAGGTATACTTATTAAAGTGTACCATACAATTTATAGGTCAATCTAGCCATTAAAACTAAAATGGCAATTGAAAAATGTTTTCAAATGTCCTTATCTGTCACTGCTCATGGAGGGCACTGCATTCTTGGATGTGAGTAGAGATTATAAGGAGGAAGAATGGAGTCAGGGGAAGACTTAGCCCTTCCTGAATGGTTGAGTACTCTTTGGCTTTAGAATGCAGGTATCACTGGAAGTCTGAAAAAAAGCTAAGCATCCTTCAATTTTCCTCTGTATCAGAAGGACTGAGCAACAGGGATATAAGAATGGAGGTTATGTATAGGCATGGAAGCCCCATGACTCTCAGGTAATAATTCTGCAAAGCTCTTGGGGAGAAGTTCCTCCAACACTGTGGGGAATTCCATAACTCTCCAGAAAGGATCAAAGAGAATTAGGGAAGAAATGAGAAGAGTTGAGGGGAGCAATACCTGCATGCCTTCCTGTCCAGATATCCCAATTCCAATGTCAGCAGCTTGAATCATGCTTACGTCATTTGCTCCATCACCTGAAAGAAGAGACATCATGAAGTGTCTTTATTCCTGGCCTAACTTCTGATTGACAATGAAAAGGGTGTTACATGAGTGGCTCTAAAGTGTCCTCATTTACACATAATTGAATACTTTTAACATTGCTCTGAATAGTCCTATAAGAAAAGTCAGTATTTGGCCCGAGAGAGGTCTCTTCTTTCATAAAAAGCTCTATTTACTATTCGACAAATGTTTATTGTCTTTTATCTCGGTATATTAGGTATTGGGAGTATAATAGTAAGTGAGGCTTGGGCAGTGCTTTATAGTTTTTAAAAACAGGCCTTCACATATGTTACATTTATTAATGAGCAAATGGAGAATTTCAGCAACATAGAGATCCCAGCAGGGTAAACCAGGTAGGGAAGGGGCCCAGGAGCATTGGCACAAAGATCTTTGCTACCTTTTCTAACACAGTATAACTTAAAATATTTACCATATTAAGACTACTGGAATATCTGAATAGCTAAATCATCAGATTGTCAGTGGTGTTCAAGGACAGGGATGGTGTTGTTTTGTTTCTCAAAATAGGAAAATGAGATTGACTGATTTTTTTGGTTGAGGGACATTTGGTCATGATGAATTCCTATTTAACAAACTAAAGTGTTTGTTTCAGGAATTTGGAGGTTAGGGCATGGATATACACAGCTTCCAGCACTGGCATAAAGGTTTTTCTGTGATGATAGAAAGTCCTATATCTTTACTGTCTAATATGGAAAGCACTAGCTCCATGTGAAGATTGAAATGCAGCTGGTGAAATTCTATTTAAGTTTCAATACCTACATATAGCTAGGTGGCAACCATTTTGGACCGCACAACTCTATACAGTGAGGCTTTTCTTACAAACCTGGCTTTTCCCAAAGCTTTAACTTTCAGACTAGAGATTAGCAAACTCTTTCTATAAGGGGCCAGATAGTAAATATTTTAGACTCTGTGGGCCAAGAAGCAAAATTGAACAACTGTTCTTGCTGAGAGGCGAATAGTCTTACAGGTTTTACAGTTAAAAACAAAAATCATTCTTAGTATCTCTGCAAAAACATGTAGTAGGCTGGATTCAGCCTGGTGGCCATGGTTTGTGGACTGCATTGCCTTCATTCTTCTCCTGGCCCCCCTCTTTTTCCAGGAGGGAATTATAGAAGGGAATTAAATATGTATTAGATAACAGAGAATATGGAGGGGAGAGAATTTTCTTCTCTTAATTATTTGGAAATGAAATTAATCCTAAATATGTTGTCATTTTAAGTAGCCATTATTTTTATAATGATTTTTTTTCATGATAGTGTAGCAGTACATTGTTTTTATCTTCCCCATGGAGAACAAATCCACCCTTTAACCTCTTCTGTTAGCAAACCAGTGGAAGTAGAGGTGTGGAATCATGCCATTGCTCACCCTGCTGGTTTTGTTTCTGTGGCAGTAGAGCCAATTTCTTACCTCAGGGAGTCAGTCCTGGGCTGTTGCTTTGTGTGTGTCTAAAGTTTTGAAGAGGATAATTCAGGGAATAAAATGTATTGCAGGGAATAAAATTAGGATGCAGTTGCTAAAGCTTTGCACCTTGTATTCTTTCTGCCCACTCCCTCATTTTTTTTTTAATTTGAATTGCTTTTACCTGAAATCAGGAGAAAATGGGGCATAAATAGGCTTCTTAATTTGAAATGCCAGGAAGGAGAATCTCTTTCCATGTCTGTGTAGGAAGGATAGAACCATCTGTAGGAATATCCCTAAATGAATGTAGTATTTACTATGTGCTTGGTATGTGCAAGGCACAGACAAAATGGTAAGACTAATATGGTATCTCTATTCAAGAAACTCATGATCTACTGAGCAGACCCTTGCAGAAAGCATACCATTGCTCTGCAGCTCTGAGGTCTGTGTCCTGTAGGCATTCTCAGAGAGAAGGAAGGTTAGGTGGGATTGGAAGAAGGGGTGTTTTAATGGAAAATTGCTTGTGCAAAAGCCTAGGAGTGAGAAAGATAGGACAAAGCTCCATTACCATGGAGAATGGTAAGCAGTTCCATTTGGTTAGATCATAGAGTGCCAAATGTTGGGGAATGGATGGTAGCTCTGATGAAGGATGTGGCTAGAAAGAGACCAGATCATGAATATTCTAATAAACCAGAATTTGCTTGTTCCTGGAAGGTTTGATGTAAGCACAGTTTTTATTTCTCTGCCTTAACCATGATTAAAGTTTAGTCCCCTATGAGGAATTTTTTATCAACAGAGAGGTCAGCATTTGTTGACAGCTGGGTCTTATATTTAGGAATGAACATATGGGGCAGGCTCAACTTCCATAATCTCCCCACCAGCCATCAACACTCAGCAGAATATCAAATCCACAAATACCTGAGGTTTATATTATGCCCTGTGTTAAGTATCAAAAGGGAAATAGTCTATACCCCAGAATGGGGTTGGCCTGTGTGTATATTACTGAGTTATGTGAATGTCACGAATTTGAACCTCCTTTTGGCTTGAACCTCCATTCAAGTCCTAATTTTTCCTTAGTGACCTGCTAATTCTGAGAACTTTCATTCACTCTTTCACTCTACTTAGCCTCTGCTTCACCTCCTGCCTGCCACATCTTGGCTGTCACTTTGAATTCTCTTAGTCTAAGTGATTCTCAGCCTGGGTATCTTGATTTTGATATGTGACCTTCCCACCTCTGGTCTATGCTTCTCGTCAGATCAGCTTCACAAGCTGCACCCACATCTCGGAATGATGGATACCTATGGAAAGGGTCATGACGCTCAACTTGTCTCGCACCAGCTTGACTATCATACTCTTCTGGAGTGGGGTGGAGCGGCAGCATAGGACAGACCGGCAATACTGAGTCAACTCCAAAAATTTCATCTCCAGCTTTCCCTGGAAAATGGCATTTAATGTCTTCCCATCAATGACCAATCCAACTTCTGGAACTGCAGCTCTTGAGGTGGGGGGTAGTGTCTTGGAAGGTAGACAGAACCCAAAGAACTTGCGGTCTGGCTTCTGTGGTCCATGAAATTGCTTTACTTCTTCCAGTGCACAGTTGAGGATGGATTCGCAGGTTTCCTATTGAGTTAGAATAATAAATATGGTATTAATAAGCAACAGTGAAAATGCAGGTTAAAAATCTCACTTTATCCTTTAGTAAAATAGCTAATGAAACTCTACCATCATAGAGGTTACCCAGGAATCATTCTTTGATTTTTACATTTCTCTGCAATATTTAAAAAAGCATCAAAGCAATATTAATTTGGAAGGAAGTTAATGGCAAAATAGAGACTGTTAGAGAATGGGAGTGGAAGTAGCTTAGCAAGATGGTGACAGATACAGGGATAGTATAAGCTAATAAATAACATGAATGTGATGATAAATAATGACAATATGTCAGGATGGTTTAGTGCTTTCTTTTTCTCACAAGTCCTTTCAGTTCTCCATAGGAAATTGGGTGATGAAGGAATTGAAACTGAAATTATTAGTAACTTGCCCTAGCTTATCCAACTTACTAGGTGAGGTAGATCATTACTACTTCAATTACAGCTTCTTAATTGAAAAAATACATTGTGTGTTTATCTGTTAGTATGAATGTGTTGGTCTTATTGGTTAAAACTGACTACAAATGTGAACATCTTATTGATGTAAAGACTTCTTATGGATTTTTTCTGATTACCTTGAAACAAAGTGAAGAACTTATTTGCTCTTATCAATTTTCCTTTTTTACTTTTGACTGTATCAGAGATAAAGTCACATTTTGGTTCTAAATATATCCTCAGTACCTTTTTAGATTTTGCAACATTACTTTCAAATAAAGGTAGAGAAAAGTTGTGGCAGTAAATTGTATTATCAATTTTAATAGCATTGTTTTGTTCACATGATCTTCATTTAGCAGTGTTCTTTTATCCATGGCAAGGATGATGATTTTCATTTACTGTTGTGCTAAAAAAAATTCTTCTAAAAATACATTTAGTGCATTTGAACTAACACTTTGAACTAAGTGTTCAAAGTCTGTCAATTTAAATGAAATTGTTAAAAAACAGTAAGGTAACATGCAGATTTAGGCAAACATTGTGAAGATTGTTCTTATATGATATACTTGGGGACCATTAATCTAGAAGCTTCTGAGAATATTTGGAGTCCTTTATTCTGGTAGAGTAGAACTGCAGTTAATCATCCTTGAGTCTTCCTTTAGGGAATGCTAAATTGAGTGTTGCAAGCAATAGGGTACACCCAGAACTAAAGGGGTGACAGGAAGTAGTTCCAGGAGTGGGTGGTTATGCCTGAAGCACTTATCTGGGAAAGAGATCAAGACAGTCCTTGCTGTGAGTTGGGGCCGGCACAAATTATATAAATTCCTTCAACATATGGCTGCAGGAAGTCACTGTAGATATAAGTTTAAAAATTAAATCTCTGAATTTACTTATTTCAAAGTGTGATATAATAACCATAATAGGGATCCCTGGGTGGCGCAGCGGTTTGGCGCCTGCCTTTGGCCCAGGGCACGATCCTGGAGACCTGGGATCGAATCCCACGTCAGGCTCCCGGTGCGTGGAGCCTGCCTCTCCCTCTGCCTGTGTCTCTGCCTCTCTCTCTCTCTCTCTCTCTCTCTCTCTCTCTGTGACTATCATAAATAAATTTAAAAAAATTAAAAAAATAACCATAATAATTGCCATTCATTTAACCTTTAGTATATGCCAGGTACTGTAGTAGGGAGCCTCTAAGATGGTTCTCAATGATCCCTTCCCTCCTGGAATGCATGCCCCTGTGCAATCCTTCCCCTTGGATGTGAGCCACATCTATCAATTCCTTTCTAATGTAGAGAATTCTGCAAAAGTGATGGCATGTCACTTCCCATGTTAGCTTACAAAAAGACTATGGCTTCCAATTTGGCACTATTTTCCCTTTCTCTTGGATGGCTTGCTGTGGGAGAAAGCAGCTACCATATTGTGAAGCAGCTCTACAGAGAGGCCCATGTGGTGAGGAACTGAAGTTTGCCAGCAATCATTTCTGTGAGCTTGGAAGAAGGCCTTCTCTCCATGCCCAAACAACTCACCAGTTGAGCCTTCAGATGAACCCACAGCCCTGACTGACAGCTTGACTGCAACCTCCAGTAAGACCTTGATCCAGAGGTACTCAGCTATGCTGCCTCTGGACTCCTAACCCACAGAAACTGTGGGACAGTAAATGTTGGTTGTTTTTAGCCACTAAATTTTGGAGTAATTTGTTAACTAACACAAATACTGTGCTAATAAGTATTTTTCTTCTATGATCTTATTTAATCTTCCCAATAGAAATAACATTTTCTAATTCCTATTTTACATATGAAGGGAATGAAGTTCAGGGAGGTATGGTACCTGGACCATATTTAGTTTTCAACATATGTTACTAATAGTGATAATAATCATTGCTGTTATTAGTTTCTATTTAATACTCTAATCCCTTCTAAATTCCTTGATAGACCAGCACTTTCAGTGATGGGTTAGTAATTCTCTCGTTTTATGACTGTGAACCCTGAGGTCTAGAGAGTTCCCATAACGTGCTTATAGCTTTAAGATACATAACAAAGAAACAGTAGACCTAAATCAATATATATTGAATTAGGCAGACTAAAACCCTTGGAGGAGATATTCACTGAATACATAATTACATTAAACTAGAGTTTAAGTAAACCTGAGATTTGGAATGAATTTCCCCAGTTTCTGGCTTAACATATCCATGTAGCCACCATTTTTTCCCAGTTCAAGGTGTGGACAGGGCCTAACATTCAGGTACCATCTGAGAGGATCCCAGATGACTTTAAATGAGTCAACAGTGACTGAACAAAACATGAAATGTGACCCACTATTCCTTAGGAATGTTGGCTAATTAATTGCTAAACATTCAGCTTCCTAGAAGAATGCATTTAACAGAAAACACAAAAGCCTACTCTATCCATCTTGGGCTGACTGACTCACAAGTTTGCCCCTGTCCTCCTTCTGGAATCACCTGGAGTGAAATAATCATTGCAAATAGAATTTCCATTGCAAGCAGGGCAAGTCAGATATCAATGTTATTACAGGGATCAAGTACTCAAGCAAGCAGCAAATTACTTTCTTTCCTAAGCATAATATTAATGCCAAAGATTTCCCCAAGATTATTTTCATTTTGAAAATTCATTGGGTCTTAATCTAATCACAGCATAATCTGTGCACCTGACAAGAAAGTGATTTTTCCAATTCTTAAAAAGAGCCTCAGTCACTTTTCATAGTATATACTATTTTTTAAAAAAATATGTGGTTTCTTTACAAAATAAAAACCAGATTTAACCCTCCCACGTGAGTGGGTCAGTGGTTGAGCATATGCCTTTAGCTCAAGTCATGATCCCAGGGTCCTGGGATCAAGTCCTGTATTGGGCTCCCTGCAGGAAGCCTGCTTCTCCCTCTGCCTATGTCTGTGCCCCTCTCTATGTATTTCTCATGAATAAATAAATAAAACCTTTAAAACAAGCAAGCAAAACAAAACAAAATCCTCCTGGGTCCAATCAGTCTTAAGCAAAACCAAGGGAGTGAGGTTCCAGCATCTTTTCTACCTCCTTTTTCTGTACTGTTCTTTTCCATCTTCCTCCTTCTCTATTCCTTTCCTTATGGTACACCTAGGTCTCCCAGTGCCCTTCTCCCACCGCCTCTCTAATACAGAGCTTTTCCTGCTTGCTTCCTCTTGGTAGGAGCATACATCTCAAAGTCTACTTCCCATATTCATCAGCCAAGATGTTGGAACTTCGCTTTCTGCAGTTTGCATTGTGAAAATAGATTTCTTCTCCTAAATATAAAATTGTATTATAACTTTGAATACTCTTCTTCAGACTTTACACAGCCCTCTCTCCAAACCCCATCCCCTGCCACCCACAACCTACTGGGGGTTGAAAATTGCAGTTTTAGGACTCTGCTCTCTCTCTCTCTCTCTCTCTCTCTCTCTCTCACTCACTCTTCCATCCCAACAAAACATACTGGTCTCATGAATCATTCCCTTCAGTTTTATTCTGTGGCAAACCAGTTTGACATATGAATTGGAGCTGAAATTTTAAGCTCAGAATTGTTTCAATTTAAGTACAGCTTTTTCAATGGGAGAGTTAGTCCCAAGTATAAGAAACTGACAATTGGGGTTCTGTGAGCAAATAATATGGAATAATGCAGATAGCACTGGCCTAGGAGAAGAACCGTGTTCTAGACCTAGTTCTGTCAGAAACTACCAGGGTGATCCTGGACAAGGGCCTTAGTCTCAAGGGTTTTTAGTTTTCTCATTGTAAAATGTGGAGATTGGGTCAAGGGGTGGAATTTGGAAGATCAAAACTTTCTAACATGTACTACCAGATGTAATATACTCAAACTGGTCAATGATGCATGGGGATGAGGTGGATGACTTTCGGGGGCCTCTGAGCACCAAAGTTCAGTGATATTTTGGGGGTAGAGGTGCTTCACCTGTGTACCCAAATCCCACCCATAAGCCTATTTCTTATTGGCTTAAGGGCTGTTCTGCATTGGTCTCTACTTTGGCGTCACCTGACTTTCTGTATTAATGGAGTAAACAGTGTCAGCCTGATCTAACAATCTGCAGGAATAGGCGATATTGATTGCTGTCTCCTGCTTATCTCCAGTCAAGACCCAGAGCTGGATCCCAGCTTCCCGCAGAGCCGCAATTGTGTCTGGAACCCCTTCTTGTAGCCGGTCTTCGATTCCAGTGGCTCCTGGAGTGATCAAAGACACCAGAGCTTACAATTAGAGTGAAAAACTGCCTAAGGTCCCTAAAACTCTAACAAGCTAAACACTGATTATTAAATATTCCCATGTTCTAGGCTATGCTAAGCACCTAGGTAGGGTACCGCAGTGAAATGGAGCTGGTCTCTAACCTCTTGCAGCTCAAAAGCTGTTGAAAAAGGATTTATATCTGAACGATATGAGAAGAAAAGCGCAGGGTGCCAGCTGAACATATGTTAAGAGACCTGAACTTCAGCTATAAAGTCAGGGATGGGGACGCCTGGGTGGCTCAGTGGTTGAACGTCTGCCTTCAGCTCAGGGGGTGATCCCATAGTTCTGGGATTGAGTCCCACATGGGGCTCCGTGCGAGGAGCCTGCTTCTTCCTCTGCCTATGTCTCTGCCTTCTCTCTGTGTCTCTCATGAATAAATAAATCAAATCTTCAAAAAAAAAAAAAAAGTCAGGGATGACCTTGTTAGGAAGTGCCATTTGAGCTCAGACCCAGAAGATAAGGCTGAGAAGTGGCAAAGGAGGATAGTTCCAGGTCAAGGATGAGCATGTATGAAAGCCCAGAGGTCAGGGTAGAAGAAGGTACAGAAAGGGAGGCAGAGTGGGGTGAGAGATGGGGCCAGGAAGGGATGTAAGGCTGCTGGATCATGCAGAGCCTTGTGAGGGCATTATAGGATTTGGAATTTATTTGGTAGACAGAAAAACTATTAAGGGGAGTTAAGTTGGAGAGTGACAGGATCAGTTTTGAGTTTTAAGAGGATCATTCTAGAGAATGGACAGGAGATTGGGGGAAGCAGGATGAGATTAGAGGCTGAGCAGGGGTATGGAGGAGTAGCCTAGGGGGTGGGCCTAGCAGCTAGGAATGGAGAGAAGTGGAGACACTTTGCTCTGTAACAGCTCATGGCAGAAGAGGCACTCAGGTTTTTGATGATATTCTTGGAATTAAATATGCAGACTCTATAATTTTTGAATGATCTCAAGCTTTGCACCAACCCTGATGAATGTATACCCAAATATCAAATAGTTGCTAAATGATTAAGCATAAATTAATCTGCATTTAAATTGAGATTCACTTCAGACAACAGACTAATGGCTACCCATTTTACTCTGGGCAGGAGCAAGGCATTTCATTTCTTTTAATAATCCCTAGTGACAATAGGCTGGCAAAGCAGTTACACTGGGTGCATATTGAAAAGATCATTTAATAGTGTGGGACCTAGAGTGAATGCAATGCAGCTTTAGTGGCACAGCAGATTCTTGGTGGTAAGATGAAGTCTCTTCCCAGCCCCAATTCTCTTTATCCCAAGCCACCTTGAGGGAACAAAAATAATGACTCTATCCTGAAATGTGCCTCTTTTGTACTGTAGGCCCAAATGTGCAGATAAACAACCCCATGAAAAGTGATGATTCAGTCCTTGTTTTTCCCTCTAAGGGTTAGCCTGGAAGGTGAGATTTTGAAGCTGATTTATATTACAGGGAAGCAGAGTGAAGGAGAAAAAAAGGAAAAACACATTTGTGTGAAAGGAAAAATGAAGCAGAAAGGTTGTGAAAGTCTTTCCCAGCAAGGGAAGCCAAAAGATCCTGATAAGCATGTTTTCTTTCATGCAGAATCAGCTGAGGAGCACTTCTCACTGAGACCAGAGTGCTCCCCCCAAACAAAAGCAACCTCAAGGGGGTCAGGGGGGAGTCATGTGCCCTAATGGGATGACATTCTGTGGCCTTGTGTGTAGATAGAGCTGTCTGGTCTGGCTACCCTCTGGTTCCTGTTAAAATAGGTTCTCATGGGCAACTTTCAGAGGGGCTTTGGGAGGCAGCAGGCAAAGGCCCTGGAGTCAAAACACAGGGGAAACATCTCCCCCTGTTTGCCACCCTTCCTGCTGAATCTTGCTGCTACCTTTAATACATAAAGGCATCACCGTCTTCTTACAGCAACCCTGGTTCTTTCCCCTTGTACCACTGCCTGTCTGAAAGCTTGGAGCAGTGTGATTTATATGCAGAAGAAGCTAGAGCTCAGGGGAGTGAGGGGATGGGTCCCTGAGCACACAGCACAAGACCAAGATTTGGCCCTCATCCCCAGCTCAGCATTGCCTCCCAAAATGAAAGAAGTCTTTAGCCATTTAGTCAGCATGGCATGCATCAGGTTTTGCCTTTTCCAGATTTTGCTCCCAGCTGTGAGGTGATTAACCCTGATAAACAAAGCCTCCTCCATCTCTCTGGGTAATGCTTTACCTCTTACAGAAACAGCACTTTCTCTTAGCTGGTCTCCCTGCTTCTCATCATTACCTTGGCGTATGAACTGAACTTCCATACAGCAGCAGCCATAGTTATTTTTGTAAAGCATGAGTCTATTCCTGCTTTTACTCCCTTCTCTTTAAACTGTTAGCATATGATTTATGTGTCCTTCATAACCTGTATCATTCTGAGCTTTCCACCCTCATATCATTTCTCTTCTACACTCTGTGGTCCAGCCACAGCGGACCTTGGGGTCCAGGCTATCTAGGCTGTCTCCTGTCTAGTTCTTCATTTGGGCCCCTCCCTCTGCCTGAAAACTGTGTTTGACCAGTTCCTCTGCTCTGCTCAGTTCCTTCCTTCCAGCACTCTCTTTGGCCCCAGGCTAGGTCAGCACCTTCTACTTGGGCTCCTATACCACAGGCAAATCTTCCAGCTCAGGCCTCATCACACTTGGTTGAAATTCTTGTTAATCATCTAGTTTCCAGCTCTGAGAGGATAGAGCTTATGACTCTTGTTCCTTTCCCAGTGCCTAGCATGCTATTTGGCACATAGTAGGTGCACAATAAACAGTTGAATAAATGGAGGAGAAGCAACCTAGGCTTCATCCAGAAGGAAGTATAGGAAAGTTCGTGGGCATCCTCAGGAAGTGGCTTGTCAAGTCTGGGTTGGATACCGGCACCATTGCACCAAATACCTGGAAGGGCACTCCAGGGAAGGCTCCTAATTGAGACACATGTGCAGCAATGTCAGAGTCATGGCCAAGAACTCCCTCTCCAGCTTGTAGCATTCATTTTTTTTTTAAATTTAGTGATGACTTATTTTTAGCTACCGAGTAAGGTGAGTTGATTCTCCAGATGCTGTGCAGTCTCCATTAGAAGCTCATCTCGATTGTCGAGGGATGACTCTGCCTCATACCGGAAACTGGCCCATCGCTGGAAGTCATCTTCGCTTATGACCTGCAGGACAGGAAGAGGCTCTTTCCCAATGCAGGGTGAATCCCACCCCATTCTTATATGTTGGGCATCCTATAGGCCTGTTTGAGCTTCCCTATTCCCTAGACAATTATTTCTTCTCAATGTTTTTTTTTTTTTGAATGCACAAATCAATGAAAGATTGATCCTCGTGTTCCATGATCACCATTAAGCCCCTGCTGTGCTCTAGGCACTGGAAGTATAGCAGTGATCAAGACAGACAAGATTCCTGCATGGCTGGACTTACGTGCTAGTGGAGGTTGAGAGACATTTATTCAAATAAATTATTTAAAAGGACAGATAATTTTAAGGGGTTCTTTACAGAAAACAGAGATGGTGACATGATGGAGTGTGACTAGATAGGAGAAAGCTGGAGGGTTATTTCATTTGCATCTTCAGTTCTCTTAGACAAAGTGACATGCAAGTTGAGATCCAATGATGAGAAGGGATCAGTCATGGAGGGGGGCAAATGCAAAGGCCATGAAACAGCATGAACTCCGCTTTCTTTCTGTTCAGTTGAACAAACCATTTGGCTTAGGGATGGAGAGCCAGATAGAGAGGAAGCAGCAGTGAGGCTGGGAAGGTAAACAGCGATCAGATCTTACATAGCTTGGTAGACTATCCCACTCAATAACTGGAAGAATCCAACTGGAGGGCAAATCTTCCTCCCTGGGAGTCATAGCATGTTTAGATGCCTCTGTTGGCATCACATGCATTACTGTCTCTTATAAACAAATTATTCTTTTGTTCAACAATCAGATATTCCTTGATTTTTCTTCTGCACATGGCACTATGGGGAAAACCAAGGAACACAGCTAGGCCCTTGCTCTTGAGGAATTCATAATCTCATTAGAGGAAGCAAAACAGGCACAAATAATTTCAATGGAAAATAGAAGGTGGTAAGGATATAATTACAATTTATGGAATAGTAAGCACTGGTCACTGTCTCAGGCACTGTATGTATGTATATGTGTTACTTTAGTTAATTTCCATGACAACTGTATAAGGTAGGGAGCATTAGTACCAGTTTATAGATAAGAAAATCCCAAACTCAGAGAGGTGAAGAAACTTTCCCAAGGTCACACAACGGGCAAGTGGTGAGACTGGGACTTGTATCCAGGTAGGTCTGAGTATAAAGTGGGTGCTCTTAAACTTTCTTGCACTAAGCATCATAAAAGAGATGAAGACCTCTGGGGATTTATAGAGAAGAAACCACGTTTAGTCATCTAGAAGTGCATGTCATCATAGCTCCCCTATCTGATTTTAGGTGCCTCATTAGATGCCCCTACTCTGAGATTCATATCTCTTTGCCTGCCTCCCTGGCAGGGGCTGCAAAGTCAAAGGGTTGCAAGGTGAGAGGTGGGTGATTACATGACTATAGCTGGACCAAGGTCAATACAACAGGGAAGGTAGGTCTGTCACCAATTGCAGAACACAGGAGAATATATACGCTTCATTAAAAGGACCAGCCACTACAAGGCTCTAGCCATTAGTGGCTGTTCAAGAACTGAGACCTTGTTCATTAGATCCTCTAAATTTTTAAGAGAAACCAGAAATACTGATTTTTGTGATCACATATCTCCCAAATTTCATTCTAGGCAAAAAAATGCAAAATTTAAAAAGCTACTTTGAGGGTAAAATTATAACATTGAAAACTCTTTTATGAGTTATGGGTTACCAAGTATATGTACATATAATGAAAAACAGAGAACAACAAAGCCACGCTGATATGGAACCTTGCTATTTAGAGTTCTGCCCCAGTAAAACTGCCAAAATCCTGGGTCTTTGTGGTGAGTCAGAATAGCTGATTTTGAAAATATTAAAACCACCAATAGTAAGGGTCTTCTAAAAAGAAAAGACAGACTCGGGGTCGAGGCCTTATAAGTACTAAAGGAGGAATTTATTTTTACCTTCTTGGCGATGCACAGTGTTCGAAGGCCATCTCTTGCATATAAATCTAGATGCTTCTGGGTTCTGACTTGGATTTTCCTCATCTTCTTTTCCACATCCATGTCAGTTACTGTCAAATAGTCATTGTTCTCCATGAAGTCATGTACAAATGCTTGGGAATCCTTGTTTCTAACACTCTGAAACTGTGAGGAGGAATCCCCTTATAACCCACCCCAGAAACACAGAATCTCTCTTGGTTGTCATGATGTCCCAGAAGGTGAACTCTAGAAGACCTTAAATTCTCTGCTCTCTATGGGATGATCAAAAGCCTGGCTGAGAAAAGTCCTATTTAGGGAAGACAGGTTGTCTTAGATATTGATCCCAAACACATGTTTGCATCAGAATCACCCCTACTTTGGGATTCATATCTCTTTGCTTGCATCCCTGGCAGGGGCTGCAAATAATAGAGGTTCCCAGGTCCAGTTGAAGCCCTGATGAATCAGAGGACCAGAAGTCTAAATCTTTGTTGTTATCTCAGGTGTTTTCCATGTAGCCAGTTTAGCTCTGGATGACCAGTTGTTGGCTGAGTCTTAGACATACCCTCCATTATCCCCTCCATTGTCTACTTCAGTCTTTATATCAACTTAGGTCTCAAGACAGCCATAGATAAGAATCTCATTGCTAAGTTTTTCATCACATTGGGTTTTCTGAAATAGGCTTTCTTTCTGTAACAGGAAATGGCCTTAGGAAAAATATTTTTTGCATTTTCTATAAGTCTAGCATGAAAACATATTTCATTGTGTTGCTCAAAGTTCCTTTGGTGAAGTCTGATGTATTTTATTTTATCTTTTTCTCCGGAAAATCTAGTGCTTTTATCTATTAGATAAAAATAATTTTTCAGGGTCACCTGGGTGGCTCAGCGGTTGAGCGTCTGCCTTCAGTTCAGGTTGTGATCCCGGGGTCCTGGGATCGAGTCCTGCATCAGGCTCCCTGCAGGGATCCTGCTTCTCTCTCTGCCTATTCTCTGCCTCTCTCTCTCTGTGTCTCTCATGAATATATAAATAAATAAAAATCTTTAAAAACAAAAAAGAATTTTTCAGCCTCGGTTGGTGGGCATGGGGCAGGATTGATGCCATTTCCACCTCCTTCACCTAAGGTGTCACAGACATCACGAATCAGATACTGATTGCTACTGTGTGAAGCTGAGCTGGGAAAAGGCTTCAGAATCCTTTTTACTGGGGCTGGAATCTTGAGGCCCTATGTAGTAAACAGGTTTTGTGTATCTCATCTATTCCCTCCCTATGATGCAAAATTAAACATACAATTCTTTACAGTAAAATAAATATAAGGAAGTCCAACAAAGCTCTGATCTTTTCCCTGATACAATTCCAAGGCTGTTTTTATGCAATATAAAAATCCTTTAAAAAATTATCTCATTTTTCAAATACTACTTTTTCTCTGGTGCCTTAAGCACAGGCTGTGCTTATTGTGCACTATCTATAATATTTTATTTTCAAAAATGTTAGGTCCCTGAGATAAAATCCTTTTGCCTTCTACCTGTGTGACCTGGAGTTTACTTTTTTGCTTAGGCTACCAGGAGCCTCAGGATCAAACTGAATGTTCAGACACTCTAAATATATTATACCTAGGGTTATTTTCCTCCCCTCTTTTCAAAGAGTTCTCAATTTTTATAGTAATATTGTGTATGTGTCTTTTATTGGAAGCAGCTCCAAATCCATTTGGAATCAGGTGAGGAACAAATTAAAAAAAACATCTCCAGGGCAGCTTGGATGGCTGTTGCCCAGGGATAGAGTGCCGTGGTTCCCTTGACTCAGAAATACCAAATTCACTCAGTTTGCCAGAGTCTGGGGATGAAGAGACCTAATTAGCTCCCTTCCCATTCTAAACACTCATCAATCCCCATGAACCTCTTGGCTTTGATCCACAGCTGATAATGCAGAAGGCACAGGGCTGCCTGGGCAATTCTAAAGCTTGGCTGGAATCTACTATCCTGGGAGAATCATAGCCCCATAACTGTCTTCTTCTTGTTAGCAATCAGAAAGCGTCTGCACACTAATTCATGCTACTCCAAAATTGGACACTGATATGTAGGGACTTTGGAACATTTTTCTGGCTTGGCTCAAATTTATGAAAATCCATTTGGGGGAGGCTGGGGAAAAGGATGACAAAGAGGGACACCTGAGGTTTCCCAGAGCAAACTGAGCCTGGTGCAGAGTTCTGGTGGCATGGAAAGAGCTCTGAACTGAGATTCAAGGTACCTGGGCCTAGAATTTACCACTGGTTATCTGTGTACCTCTCTTAAGTCACTTCCCTCCCTGGATTCAGCTGGCTTCTCTACAAAACTAAGAGTTAGGACCACAGTGTGTTCTAGCATATATTAATGGGTGTTTTGGTAGGAAAAAATTGTGTACAGATAATCCATGTTTAAATGTTTGGAAAGGCAGAAATTGGGATAAAGTTAGAGGTTTCTCCAGTATAAGACTGCCCTAAGTCTTTAATAAGCTCATGAGCACTGTAATTCTCCAGAGCAAGGAGATGCAGAATGCAGCATGATTTAAGGAATCTCCTCTGAGGAAAGCATCTTGTGGCTTCTGTTCAAGTTAGGACCTGCTGGACTAAGTGACACTATAACCCACCCTCGTTATTCCTGTCCTGTGCTGCCTCTTAAACCAGGGAGCCCTCTTCCCGGAGCCCTGGTGAGGTGGGACTCACCGCATGCTGGGTCTTCCAGCAGGTCCATGATAACCGAGTCTGCGCCCTTCGTGTAGACGATGATCTCACCCGTCAGTGGGTGCCTCACAACCACAGACATTCTTTTCCTGACAGAGTCAAAGCCCAGGGTGCAGAGGATGTCAAAGGTGAGGCAGGTGCCCTGGGGCAAGCGCACAGTCACCTGCTCAGGTGTCCGGGACACCAGCGTGAAGCTATAGGCATGGGCTGCGTGTACCAGGGCTGCCTCATCAGGGCTCTCAGCTTCATAATAGAGCTCAGGGCTGGCCAGTCCTAGAGCTGGGGCCTCCAGAACCTTCTCGAAGGAAGCATCCAATCCAGACCCCTGGATGTCGCCCTGGTCCCATGTGCTGCTCCTATAGCCACCATCGGTGGAGTAGCCTCCACTGCACACAGAAGCATCGTCTCTCTCTTCTGAGTCTGTGGTAGGCATGTTGGCTCCCAAACTCTCCCCCAGGTCGGTATCAGAGGGTGCAGTGGATGAGAATGACTGGCTGAGGTTCAAAAGCTTCAATCTGTGGAAGAGCTGCTGAATCTTCTCCAGGGATGTCCCCAGAGCCTTGGTCAAGGGTGGCATGGTGACCTTGTAGTCAAAGAAGGGAAGTGGAACATTAACTCTCAGTGTTGGAAAAAATATTAAGCTGTTTTATGGAAGAATATGAAGCTCATTTTGTAATATATGGATTATTTGGGGGTTTCAGCAATTATGGGCAAGTCTTCTCTCCTCTGTGAGACTCAGCAAATCTGAGTCTGTCTGGCTCCAGAGATTGAACTCCTGAGCTACCTGCCAGCTAATGTCTCCTCAATAACTTGAAAACTGGAGGTTGGATGCTGTCCTTCTCAAAATGTACTTCTTTCTTTCTTGAAAGTAGAATTAATTTCTCAGATAACATTTCCTGCCTCCCAAAACTCCCTAAAATTTTGTGATAACTGTGAGTTTTCAGTGGTTGGAATGCCTTTTCAGAGTGTTTTGGGATCTAGGTATAATAATGGGAGACTCTGGTTTGGTACCTGGGTGAACCTTGTTTTCTTGATTTCATAGCTATCAGTTATAATACTCAATTATTACCACCAGTCACTCATAAGGGAGCTTGGGTGAGAGTTTGTGGATAATTGAAGATCAATCTATCTTTAGTACTGAAAAACAATTCAGAGTATAAACTTCTAAAAAATGGCCATCCAGCTGCATCATCTCTAAATTGGCAGAACTTCACCCATGGTGGTGATGATGATGATGATGATAATAATAATAATAATAACTTTATATTATTTTTCCCTCACATAAAAGCAGAGACCAGTATAATGTGATATTATCATGGAGTTGTACAGATGGTTCTGCTGTGTATCAATCATACATCCTTCTTTAAGTTGCTGAAACTCTCTGAACCACTGTGTCTTCATTTGTGAAATCTACAGACATACCTCATAGGGTTTTTGGGTTGTGATGATTAAATGATAATGCAGGTGATGTGTTTGGCATGGAGCCTGGCACAAAGCAAGTACTCAGTAAATATTAACTCTTAATACCTACCCTATAGACAGATACAGAATTTGAAAGTTATATAGAAAGCTCATATAGGACTTCTTCCATTTTATTTAAAAAATGAGGAAACTAAGGCCCAGAAAAAATAAGAAATCTGTTCAAGGTCTCACAGTGATGACATGGTGTTTCTGTGACTAGGGCTCAAGAGTCTTGTCTCTCTGTTCAGGGCTTTACTTCTTACCCCTGGATCTCCTTCCATCCCTTCCACCACCCACCCTCAGTGATACTTACCCTCTGCCTTGGCTCAGTGGTTGTGGAGACCATGACAGAGTTGCAGATGGTTAGTGCAAGGAAGAAGTCAGCAATGGAGGAGGTGGTGGAGAGGGAAGTCTTGGCAGGTTTCGTGTCTGACAATGTCTCCAACCACAGGGCAGCATCTTGCACTTTGGGCAGTAGATTTTTATCTGGAGTCACATCTTTTTCCTGAGAAAGAAATGCCTCAATGAGAATCTTTCCTGGAATGTCTGGGTGGCTCAGCAGTTAATCGTCTACCTTTGGCCCAGGGCATGATCCTGGAGTCCCGGGATCGAGTCCCACATTGGGCTCCCAACATGGAGCCTGCTTCTTTCTCTGCCTATGTCTCTGCCTCTCTGTGTCTCTCATGAATGAATAAATAAAATCTTAAAAAATCTATCTTTCCTGAAGGGACTGGGGAGGAAGGCCCCTCTAGCAGATTCTTTGTATACCTGGGGGAAGATTGATACAGTCTTCCCTGAAGTCCTGCCTCTAGGACATCTCCCCCTTCCACAGGCCTGGTCAGTGCATTCTAATGTGATTCCTCCCTTTCCCTCAAACTTGCATGTTATAGACTCTGGCACTCTTTCCCTCACAGTGGCTTCCCACCATTTGCCCTTCATTGCTGATGCTTTCAGCTAGGAGCAGAACTTTAGCCCTCAAATCTGGATTTCTGCATCAGCCTCTGAAGTGATGTTGCTGCCTCCCACCTCTGTTCTTTCTAACCTTTCATATGAATTAGCCATGCATCTTCCTAAAACATTATTTCTCTCAAAGTACTTTTGAGCTTGAAAACCTTCAGGAGATCTTCATATTTAGCGTAGTCAATACAGTCTGGCATCTAAATTCTTCCACAGTCTGCGCTCCCATTCTTTACTCCCACCATTTCTCCATGCAGACCCTCGGCTCAGCCTGCTGGTTTGTTTGCTGCCTTCTGGATATTCCCTTTTAGTACCTCAGATTATACCTTGTTTGAAAAGTGATCTCCTGTCTACCAAAATCCTCTCTAGACTTCAGTAGCCATGAGAAGTCCCATATGTCCATGAGATCTTATCCAGCCCACGATAAGTTCTCAGTCTTCTGAGCCACAACAGCATATTTTGAATTTAGAATGTCCATAGGAGTCAGGCAGTTAAGGTGAATGAGGGAAATGAGCCAAGGTACAGATGAGGACACTATAGGGTGGCAGGGGTTGGGAAACCTGGCAAGTCCTACCCTACCTAAAAGGTTTCAACTGCTCTGCTAATGAGATGCTCTGGTGTTAGCCTAGTTTGCCTAATCTATTGAGTTTTCAAGATAAAGAGTGATGATGTGAAAACTCATTTTTTTTTCTAAAGAAAAATCTGTGGGCGGGATCTGACTCATGGGTTTCCAATTTTTCACATCCTTGTAGAAACTGCCACTTGTACCATCCCTTTGGAATGCACCACATATTGACCTATATTTTAAATTCAGTTTTCTTATATCCATGTGGAATCTCTTTAGAGACAAGGTAAGAGCCTTGAGATAGAGACTGCATTTTCCACAAAGCTGTACATACTACAGTCCCAACTATTGCTTTGTTTGAAGCAGAAGCTCAACAAACACCAGCTGTTAACAGATATGACAAGAGCCATCATGCAAAAAAATTTCCACACAAAACCATTTATATCACTGTTCATAGTTCACTGGTTAACTAAAGTTTAGAAGAAAGTTTTTCAATGGTTGAAAAGGACTGACTGAAGGACTCTTGATTAATTTGTTCAGGGTGAAGACTGAGTGCCAATGAGCTGGCAGGTTTTACAAATAAGAACCCAAGTTGAGATTTAAAAAATAATAATAAAGAAACAAAACCCTGTGGATAAAGAGTCCTCAGACTGTGTCTTCTCTGCTTAGCAAATGCAATGACTCCAGAAGTCAGACTCTATTCTCCCTGGGGTTGCTGGCACAAGTAAGAGCATAGGAGAGGAAACCCAGATACCCAGGTGGGGTGCCTGATTCCTGCAGGGATGAGAGTTGGGCTTTCCAACAGCAGAGGGAGGTGAAGGGAAATGGACTAGAACAAAATGTTCCAGCCTTTATTTGGAGTGCTCTCTAAAAGTCAACACTACATTTCCTCTGGTTCATACCATCAGACAAAATCCAGGAAAAAAAAGTACTTATTAAAAGGAAGAGTGCTAGTGAAACTGCATCAAGTCTGCATTTCTTCTCATTGCCTTGTGATAAGCAGTGGTGGACCATCTATACCATATGGTGTCACTATTTTCAGAAAGCCTAGGAAGGGAGCATGCACTATCCAACTTTTCTACCTTTGAATGCAGTCTTCCTAGAAGGAGTTCACATTGATAAAGCTCTTTCTACTTTTCTAAGCAATGTCATTTACGTGACCCCATTGACTTTGCACAGTTCTAACTTAATTGAAATCCTGAAAGATGGGCTGAGCTGACCAATGTCACTCAGTGAGTCAGTATCAGATGTCAGACCCTCTGACTGCAAGCCTGGAGTCTTCCTTTCCATGGTCATGGTAAAGTAGCTGTGTTCCCTTATTAATACTCTTAGGCAAACTCCCCTAGCCAGCCAGATTCCAGGTTTCACCCACTTCCTGTTATCAGTGTACCATCATCACTCAAAGGGATCTGAGCTCATTTCTTAAGGTAGTAATGATAGTTCCTATTCATATAGTACTTCTTACATTCTGGTTAAATTCTTACATCCATTATCTCACTGCAGCTCCACAGCAACATTATTTGTTGAGTACTATTATCCTCGTGGTTACCCATGTATCAGATGAGGAAACTGCTGCCCAGGGAGATAAAGGGTTTTTCCAAAAGTAACACAGTAAGTAAAAAAGACTCCTTTATTTGATTTAAGGTAGTCCAACTAGAATCCATGCTCTTAACCTCTGTGCCAGGCAAGATCCCCCACAAGAAGGAAGTAGCCTTTGTTACTTGCTGACAGCCAGAATCTTTAGTGTTCAGCATCCCAAGCACAACTAATAGGCTTATATATCTAATCCTTAGGGCTCAGCAGATAGTCTGTGATATTATAAAAGGGATTATGGAAATCTTCTTTTTTCAGGAAAAAAATTTCATTTGGGGCTGGGGGTATATATGAATGGGATGCTTTTAACCCTTACTACAGATACACAGAGTTGCAAACAAGCTCAGAGGTCATCAAAGCCAAATCTCCCATTTTCCTGATGATAAAATTGAATGTCAGAGAGGACGGAAGTGAACCACTCAAGGCTACACATTGAATTAGGGTCAGAACTAGGGCAGCTTTCACACCACCTGACTCCCAGCTTCTGACAACACACTGCTTTGCTCTAAGCTATGCATTACGTATTTCCAAACGGTGACACAGTTAAAACGATTTAATGGTTATTTATTGCTTGTTCATTTACCCTTTAGTCTATGAGTGCCATGAAGGCAGAGACAGTCCATGATATGTCCCCAGTGCCTGGTAGACTGCAAGCACTCAAATCTTTGTTGACTGACTCCTATGTGGGACACCATGCTATGCCACCACTGATGAACAACTCACGGGATCTCTTTGTTAAAACTCTTCTTCGGTATATTTCAACCCAATCATACAGCAGTGTATTACAAAAAAAAAAAAAATCTCTGCGAAGGGCCTATTTCTCTCTGTCACTGGCAGCAGGCCCAGCCTGCAGGTGTCAGCAGCAGATGTTAGTGAAGCTTTATCCAGTCACCATACACTGTTTTCACAGGGCAAGGTTCTTCATGGTTCCCTTTGTCCACAGCCCATTGGTTTCCTGTCTGGTCCATTAACATTTAGGAACTTGGCACTTAGGAGACTCAGAGAAACCAGTGCCCCCAGCCACCCCTGGACTCTTTGGCTAGTCTATTTCTCTGAAGGAAAAGAAATATAAAATTGTGGATTACCGGTTGTTAAGATTAGAGCTTTGTGGCTGTTAAGATTAGAGCTTTGTGGCAGCCAGGCACTCAATTGGCTGGATTTCTTTCTATTGCAGAACACCTAAATATCATACAAACCTTTTTTTGATGAAGGTGATCTTGGACCTCATACTATACCTTCAAGAATCCTATTATTATTGTTAGATTAGATAATTTACCACAAAATCAGATACTTTGCTAAGTGTGTTCATGTACAACATTTAGTCATCATGGCAATACTTAAATAGGTACTATTATTCTCCCATTTTAATTAGAAGGTAAATGAGGCTCACTGAATTTAAGTATCTTGTCCAAGGTCACAAAATTAGTAAGAAAGATGGGTCTTGAATCCAGTTCTGCCTCCTTGTGCCAACACCTGAACCCTTAAACATGATGCCAGTATTTTCAAAACTTTAACATGTACGCAAATCAACTGGGCATCGTGTTTAACCCCAGGTGCTGATTCAGGGGGTTGGAAGTGTGACCCAAGCATCTGCATTTCTACAAGTTCCCAAGTATGCTCATGCCACTGATCCTAGGACCCCAATTTGAGTAGCAGGAATTTATATGGCCAATGTGTGCTACATGGCTGAAGTATGTCACACATTGAAGGCCAGGGGAAGTAGGTCAACCTCTAGTCTGCTACTCTCTTCTCAGTTTTAATAACTCACTCAAGTTCACATTGGCAACTATCACTCATTGGGTGTAACAGTTTGCTACTATAGGAATCCAGGGAGCCAGCAGGGGAGATAAACAGGAACACCAGTGCCTAGCCTGGAAGAAAAATCTTTGTGGCTTGGTTCTTCCCAAGCCTCTATCTCCTCAACCTCTCTGCCATCCGCACCTTCTATTCTAGTTGCTCTTCAAAACCCCAGTTCTCCATGTCACTCGCATTCCTCACCTCTCCCTACTAGATGGTCTTCTCTTTGCTCTAGTTAACCTTTAATTTTGTCTCAGATTCCGTTCAAGTGTCAACCCTTCCAGCAAGCCCTTCTGAGGCCTCATCTGATGTAGGTGGACCTCTTCTGGGCTCCTCCTGCACCTCTGCCTCCATCTACCCAGCAGCAAGAGGAGCATTCTGTAGGCACTGGTATTCTTCTCTCCTCTATATTGGGTTGTAACTCCTGAAATCAGGGACAATGCCCTATTAAACCTTTCACCCCAGTGTTTAGAACAGTATATGCCATGTTGTGGATGCTTACTCGATGTTTGACAATAAATACCAGGCTATTCCAAAGAAAGGTAGATACTGAGTAGATACACAGAATTGGCAGAAGTGAACAGAATCAGACCCTTCTATTTGTTGTTGGTGAGTGACTAAACTAATGCAACCTCTTGGGAAGTGCCAATTGAAATGAAAAAGTTACATATCATTTAGGAATTATGCTTGAAGAATGAATACTATAGAAAAATAACACATGTCTAAACAGACAATGGCTCAGCCATTCAAAAAATTCTAACAGTCACTAAAAAAAAAAAAAGATGAGGGAGCTCTCCATTGAACATCTGTCTGTCTACATATATGAAATAGTCCCCTAGATTCACTAGGTAAAAAGAAAAAGTTCAAAATAACGTGCAGGGCATGCTCTTATTTGCAGTAAAGGATGTGCTTATGTATTTACCATAGTTGTATGCTCCTATATAGGTGAAACAATTCTGGAACATACACAAGGAACTGCAAATAATGGTTGTCACTGGGGTTGTGGGGAACAGAAAAGGGAAAGAGACTTACTTTTTACCATTTGACCTTTAGTGACTTCCCATGACTTACTTAACTATGTGGTTATGTCACTACCATGAAAACAAGCTTTCCTGGTTCCTGGGGAGCTAGAGGCTGAACTATGGTTTAGGAAAGTGATGTTTTTGCCCAGGTTGAGGTTGTGACTTTGAGGTGCCTTTCATTCAAGAAAGAATTGAGAGAACTCAATGTTAACAAATATTTGTTTAAATAGAAGCATGTGGATTGTTAAGATCAGCTTTCCTGAAAAGGGGTGTAGGTCCCAAGGAAAGAAACTAAGAGGCCTAACAAGAAGGGAGTTTTCCAGATTTTGCAAAGCTCCACTCCTTGTGAACAGGGTAATTGCAGCTGTGTGCCACCTTCTGGTACCCTGGAAGTTAAGGGAGGCACAGCTGACATAGGCTTCATCTGTTCCTGCCCTGTGTAGTCACATTACTTCCAAAAAGATTTTGTATGCTTGGCTAATTAAATCGGGACTCTTATCTAACTTTTGAGTGGGAGTGTGTATCTGTGGGCTGTCCCCACCAGCTCGGAGCAGACTGGAATGTTGTACACATCTCTTTCAAAGAAAGGAAGGAAGACCAAGATTAAGAAAAGAAGGCAGAGGCCAAAGACACCTCCTTTACTTTTCTCTATTGCATTCTCTCCAGACAGGTGGGAGAGGCCATGCCCACAAGAAGGAAGTGGTGGTGCCATCTGGAGGAGCGTAAGTGGCCCCAATGCAAATTTCATGATTAGGAAGATATTCTTTGGTCTGATGGTTCTGGAAAACCTTTTGTAAGTGGCACTTCTAAACAAAGGCTCTCTGCTTAAATCTTGACTTCTTACACACCAGGGGGAAAAAAAAGGCATTTCATTTTCCATCTGCTAGTACTCTTAAACATTGGCTTAGAACTCATTACTCTCCTATGTGTATTATCCCCACCCTAAAGCCACAGATTTTATAGCAGCCAATTAGGCAGTATTAACCATTGCTTCCTTGTTCTTTGTAGTAAAAGAAAAAAAAAAGCCAGCTTTTGTTGCTGTTAGCCTTGATGATCATTTTATTTTGGGTAAGGGCAAAGTTCCAAGGACACCGACAACCGGCTTCTCTAGAATGTGGTAGGTTGCTTGCTCTGCTAGGATTTGGCATTGTGGAGGTTTTATTATTTTTTAAATTTATTTTTATTTTTTTAAGATTTATTTATTTGTTTATGATAGAGAGAGAGAGAGAGAGAGAGAGAGAGAGAGAGAGGCAGAGACACAGGAGGAGGGAGAAGCAGGCTCCATGCCAGGAGCCCGACACAGGACTTGATCCCGGGACTTGATCCCGGGACTCCAGGATCACGCCCTGGATCAAAGGCAGGCACTAAACCGCTGAGCCACCCAGGGATCCCCGCATTGTGGATGTTTTAGAGGCAAGTTCTGACTGATTTACAAAGGGAAGGTAAAGAATTGGTGGTGCCAAATGATTATTATCCAATCCGACTGGATGCCAGATGGGCAGGTGGAAGAGGATGCAAGCTTGGAGAGCTTGGCAAGAGTTGGTGGGGGCAGGAGCCAGGAGGTCCACCTGGGGCTGCCATAGATATTTTCTATGAACTAATTCAAAGATTTGATACTCCAGCCCCAAATATTTTATAGGTTAGTATCAGAGCCCCCTTTAGTCAATGCCTCTCAAGCTATAGAAGATGCCCATTTGAGCCAAATGAAGATTATTTCCTAGTGGCATAGTGCTAGGCTTAGAGAGATTCTTGATCTTGGTTGCTCAGTAGAATCATCAAAAATAAAACAGATGAATGTCTAAGCCTACCCTAGATCAAATATACCAGAATCTCAGGGGAGAGGGCTTGACATCGCATTTTATGAAAACTCTCATTTCCCATTCAATGTAATCAGATATGAACATTTGTGGAAGGCATACAGCTTTCCTTAAGAAAGATCATTTAAGACTTCTCCTAGTTATCTATCTAGAATATGTGATTTTAAGAATTAAGTCCTCAAAATAAACTCATGACATAGAATAATAAGCCTTTTAAAAGATGAAGATATTGAGGTTCTAACTCAGTAGGTTGACCAAAGTCTCAGAGACGATGATGGAGCTGAGATGAAAACCTGGGACATTTGACCCCAAATGTACCTAATTTATAGCTGGAAAGGACCTTGCAGGTCAGCATAAACATCATGCTATTTAACTTTTAGGACAGCTGGTGACGGTTGTAGGTCCTAGTGATAGGCCCTGAATGAAAGTTACACTGGCTGGCAGTTTTTCTGGGCTACTAAGATTTGTTAGGCTGAACAAGGGGGAGCAGATCTATGCATCCCAACTGAAATCTAGAAAAGAAAGCTTCCTGTTTCTTTCTGTGTATCTTGGGAGAGACATTATCAGGCACATGGGATGCCCATGACATCCAGAATTGGAAGGTGCCAAAAGATACATCCAGTGCAAGACTTAGAATCTGTGCCTGGTGAGAATTCACTAAATGCAGTGTTCAAATATTTAGGTAAAGAACTAGGGGAAGAGCAGTACATTCAGTGGGAACAAAATTAAATTGAAGAAGAGATAGATGCAACAATATGCATGTCCTGTTATCTACCCTGAGAAAAGAAAAAAATAAAAAAATTGTTCTTAAAGGCATCGGTGGATAATGATCTTGTGTATTTATGAGCATCATAAGTCTTAAAACATGGCTAATGTTTCATCCTTGCTAATATTGCATTTCTGTGCATGGTAGTAACATAAGAGAGTTAACTCAACTTTGTACTCACCTGAAGTTAAATAAGTAATAACCCAGAACACAGATTCACAGCATTTCCTTTTTGTCACGGTCAGAAAACACAGTCCCAGGTTATGAAAACTAGGTAGCAATATGGAAAATAGTTTTGATATTATTTCAGATTTTAAAAACCCCAGAACCTTTAATTTGTAGGTACAATGACTGCAAAAATGTTAAATATATGTAGTTATGTGTATATTAATGGAGAAAATAAAAATTGGAAGGAAATTCATTATGAGGATAGTTTTGAAAATCTAATTTTCTAATAATGGGATAATAGCACTACAGTCCTCTCTTAGAAGATGTGCGTCTTGTTCAATATAGCCAGGGCTCCCTGTGGCCTTTTCTCTAAGAGCAGAAGATTCTAGAGAAAGTAGAAGGGGACAGGAGTCCAAAAACTCCAGTTCTAACCTTGCCTTCAGGGAATGCTGTGTAATCTTGGGGAAGAAACTCAATTTTTTCACATGCTAAAGATTTAGTGATAGCTATACCCTTGGATCAAATGTGAAGAAACCATATGCAAAAAGTTCCAGACCAACACTGCAAGTTGAATCCCTACAGGGGACAGGCAATTGATTTAAGAGGATGAAGTGTGCTGGGTAATTTTGACACAGATGTTTGCTTTATAACTATTTAAGACTCTTTTTGATTATCACAAAAAGTATATTCTTCCATTACTCTTGAAACCTGCAAGCCTTAAGGCCCATCTTATTTTTCTACCTTATAGAAACATCAGCATAACAACTATTTCTCTTTCCTTTCACTGTATTTTGGAAAACCATGCTGCTGGCTCTCAGTTCAGTGATGGGGTTAAACAGAGAAGGGGGATAGTCTGTGATGAACAGAAGACTACATGCCCAGTCTAAGGAGCATCAACTCTATCATTCAAGCCATTTGTTGCCACAAGGAGATGTTGGCTTAGTGTGGAGAAATTTTCCAATTCCTTATTAAAAAGAAAAGCCAGAAATTTATATGTTTATCTGATATCTCCCAATTTTTAAAACGTGAACATTTAAAATGAATAGGAATTGTATGTGCCCAACAAAACACATATGCAGATTGCAAATAAGACCAAGGGCTGCCATTTTGAGAGCTCTTCAGGGTTTATACAGTCTTTTCTCTTTCATATCCCAGATCCCCCTCCTGTTTATCCCTAAAAGAGGACACTTGCGACTTAAAGAGTAAAAGGTACTTACAATGGGGCTGCTGAAGGCCACAGGAGGCTGTGAACTTTCACAGCGCCCTATAGACCTCTGTCGTGAGTGGCCCTGGATGGGTACCTGGGCACTATGGCACCTCCTCAGAGGCTGAGCCCATCCTTGACCCCTCAGTGTTGCTGGGCCCTGAGCCCGTTGGGCTGGGAACGACAGGCACTGGTATTGGGTCCACTCTTCACTGTCTGAATCCAACTCCTTTGGGGTCTCCAGTCGTTTGGCTGCAAGAAAGGAGTCCTATTATTGCACCAGTCATACCTTGGCCAAGTCATGGTCTGGGGGGATCCCTTAGGGGTAGAGGAGAGAGCACAGAGTAAGAGCACTCTGCTTCTCTGGAGCATGGGCAATGGGGCTACCTTGACTGGAGAAAGTGGGGTGCATCAGATTGCACAGATTCAAATCCAGCTCTAATACTTCCTAGCTCTGTGACTGAGCTTTGACTAAACTCATGTCCCGATTTTCTCCATTAGGAGAAAAAAGAGAAAAATACCTAAGGGGCACCTGGGTGGCTCAGTGTATTAAACATCTGCCTTTGGTTCAGTTCATGATCCCAGGGTCCTGAGATTGAACCCTGTGTCGGGCTCCCTGCTCATTGGGGAGTCTGCTTCTCCCTCTGCCTCTCCTTCTGCCCCTAACTCCGCTCGTGTTTTCTCTCTCAAATAAATAAAATTAAAACAATTAAAAAACAAACACAAAAAAAAACCAAACACCCCTCCCAAATTATAGGGTTGTTTTGAAGACTTAATGAAATAATGTGTCAAATAGATTGGCATACTCTAAGTACCTGCCATGGTAGTTGTCATTATTATTTAGAAGAGATCAGAAGCTCTCCCATTTAAATGGTTACCACCATGGCAAATGTGATTGAGCTACCCCTGATATCTCCCCCTTTCTTCTTCTCCATTCCTCCCACTTAAAAGAATGAACACTGTTCTCTTGAGAGTGTTTCTTCTCTTAGTTAGAAAGTGTGTATGATGTGTTTGTGGTGGTGATGGTGGAGGGCTGCTGAGGAAATCAGGTCAGCTTTATAGGCCACCTTCAATCCATGTGTGATGACAATCCAGGCATTGTTCAGCCATACTCCCTAAGTCAAAGCTCTGCCTCAGTAAAAATCCAAAAGATCAGTTAACATGGAAGGCTTTCCCTGGGTATATTGAATCTGATCATGCATCTACACTGAGGCCTGTCCTCACATGTCAGGTAAAGTGACCCCCCAAATTCTTAAACCTTCACTGTATAACTGGTTCATAGTTTGGACATGTCCCCAGTCCATTCCTGGTGGAAAAAAATCCTGTGTAAATGGCAACAAAGACCGACTGGAGGGCTACCACACAGGAGATCGCTGATAGTCTTTGTGAACAAAGGAAAGTTTACAGGTAATAAGGACAGAACTGATCTAGGACAAGGAAGCCCACAGAGATATAGGAAGCAACCTGCCACAGAGCCAGGAAACCTCTGTGGGGAACCAGGAAAATGTCTTTTATTACCATTCTTTTAGGAGAGCAGGGTAATTCATTTAGAAAGAGTGGTGAGGGCCCCTGGGAACCCTCATACCATTTTCTTGGTGAGAATACTCGCTGCCCATGATAGTGCAACGCCGGAAGACCATCTTGTTCTCAGTCAGTGTCCCCGTCTTGTCAGAGAAGACATACTGGATCTGGCCCAAGTCCTCAGTGATGTTGAGGGCTCGACACTGAATGGATAAATCGGTCTTTTCATCGTACAGGTCAAGGTCATTGTGCAGGAAGAAGATTTGCCCGAGCTTTACCAGCTCAATGGACACATACAGGGAGACTGGGATCAGCACCTGTAGGGAGATCGAGTCCCAAAGAGTCAGAGACCAGACCAGTTCCCTGTCTCAGAACTCTCACCAGTGGGTAGCAAAGGTATTTAATGGAAAGCTGAAGTCAGCTCACATGATGGACTTTCTCTGAGAAACTAAAGGTCAATAATTTCATGCTTCACTTGGAATTCTTAGGGGAATTTGAAAAATAGGTGCCTTCTTTACTCAGGGAGGTCTCGTATGGAGCAGGCACTCAACTCGTCATTGGTTGTTTAATGACTGAGTGGTTAGGGGGTAAGGAGTTCTAGTGCCTCTGTCCAGAGTTTCCTGATGCCCCTCAGATCTCTATGCCACCAAGGGCTGTTGCTCACTTTTATTTTTTTTTTATTTTTATTTATTTTTTTTTTTCGTATTGGGTATTTTTATTGTATTTTTACATTTCTTTTTTACCAACTTTTTGCAATGAGACTTTCAATGAAGCCATTTTTGGAATTTTGAAGACTTTGCTTTTAAGTGCACTTCTTAAGTGATCTTACCTCATTGGATATTCCTCAGAATGTTGCTCACTTTTATATGTATTGAGACCCATTGTTGATTACTGTCCCTGATTCCATACGTAATATATTCCAAGTGCTTGCTGTGTGTCAGATCCTGTGCTAGGTCCTGGAGATGGCAGCAAGCAGAACAAAATCCCTGGCTTTGACGACCTCATATTCCAGTAAACAAATAAAGAAATATATATCAGGAAGTAAAAAAAGAAGTCAGGAGGGTAGAAGGTGGGGTCTGGGAGGGACTCTTTTATGAACTATGACCTTTGAGCAGAGATCTGAAGAAATGAGGGTGTGAACCAGGAAGTTACCTGTGGGAAGAGGAGCATTCTGGGCAAAGGCAGCAGTAGGAAGGAGCAGGCTGGGTATTTGAGGGGAAAGAGTAAGCAGGTCTTATATGAATGAGCAGGACATTACTAGGAGATGAGGCCAGTGGGAAAGTCAAGGGCCTCACAGGGCCACATTCACTGCCATAAGGGCTGTGCATTTCTCTTTGAGCGGATGTGAAACCACTGGAGGGGTCTGTGCAGAGGAAGAGTATGGTCCATCTCAAATTTGAAAAGTATCTGGGGATACTTGGGTGGCTCAGTGGTTGAGCAGCTGCCTTTGGCTCAGGGCATGATCCCGGGGTCCTGGGATTGAGTCCTGAATTAGGCTCCCCACAGGGAGCCTCCTTCTCCTTCTGCCTGTGTCTCTGCCTCTCTCTGTGTGTCTCTCATGAATAAGTAAACAAAATCTTAAAAAGATAAAAATAAAAAGGATTGCTTTGCTAAATGAATGAATGAACTAATGACTGAAAAAAGTTCACCAGAAAAGAGGGCAACAAAACACCCTCAAATACTACAATAAATTGATGTAAATGGGGCTTCATCAAAACGGCAACTTTCCTCATCTTTTCATTGATTATAACTTCTTATAGAGCCTGAAGAATTTATTCATCTTTTTATTCCTTACTGCCCCTTCCTTGTAAGTTTGTTCTATGCTTTTGTGTTTTCTCCTCCACAGGGCCAGTTGTCTTTTTCCCCCTCTCCCTCTAGCAGATGTTAAAACACTAAACTGTGGTTTCTTTCTCCCAATCCTTAGGGCTTAACAGCTCTCTGAGCTATTTTATCTTCTTTTTGTTCCCAGGTCATTAGGATTTTACCTGTTCTATTATATCTGGCAAAGGGACAGGTAAACTTGGATCACTACTGTAATCTTACTCTTAAAAGCCTGAATAATGTTTTCCTCCACTCTTATCTGGGGGGCAATGTTCTTTCTACAAGGTAGGGCTGGTCCTGATATTGCCCCAAATGTAAGTACTTTCAAAGGATCACAAGAAAGGAATGCCAATTTTCTCATCTTAGTTCAGTTAGTTCTTTCTTGGGGCCAGCACTGTTTTTTCTTTATTTCACAAAGTTGTGTAGGTATTGGCCACAGGTCTTCTTGAGTCCCTAACTAGGGAAGGCTTCCTACCTGGAGCAGGATGATCATCGTAAGGAACATGTAGAAGCCCCCAAGGGCAAGGGGAAGGAAGCTGCCGTTGGCTTCTGGCACATCAAAGGGTGGGTGTTCTTCAAAGGTCCCATTCCAGAGGCGGTGACCTGAGAGGGGGCAAAACCAGAGATGAACCAGAATCCTCACTTGATTCTATATTGGTCTATTATATCAGCCCTTAGTTTATTCCTGAAAGTGAGTGAGCTTTAGAGGAGCCCGTCCTTGTTCTACCATAGTCTCTGTGTGTATGTGTGTATATTTGTCTAAAGGGGTCCTTTACATACCCTACATTTCAATCACTTGATAGGCATTAAAGTCTGTCTTACCCAGAGGAGATTAGTATATATATATTATATAATATTATATATGATATATATATAATATATATATGATTTTATTTATTTACTCATGAGAGACACACAGAGAGAGAGAGGCAGAGACACAGGCAGAGGGAGAAGCAGACTCCATCCATACAAGGACCCCGACATGGGACTTGATCCCGGGATTTCAGGATCACGCCCTGGGCTGAAGGCGGTGCTAAACCGCTGAGCCACCTGGGCTGCCCGATTACTTAGATTTTGATGAAGTCCTGTTATACAGGCACTGGAAAGAGAAAAGGGGATGCAAGTTCTTTTTCAGTTGTGTGTTGAAAAGTGCAGGGCTGGGGATCTTGATAGACTTGTAAGCTAGCCCCTCTTCTTCCTCCATGCACATACCCGTCCATCCATTACCCATCCACCCTTTTACAATTCATTTATCCATCCATCCATCCATCCATCCACAGTTCATCCATCCACACATCTATCCACCAATATCTCTGTTCATCCAATCCTTCCTGTTGCCATTTATTAATGTTGGAAGAGGAAGGAATCGGTCTCAGTTCTTGTATTTGAGGAGGTTCCCATTAAGTCAGACACCAGATGTAAAGGGACAAATCCCACACAGTGTAAGAGGTACCATGCAGAGTGTAGAATGCTAGGAGAACTAGCTCATGGTAACATCTCCAAATGCAGACTGAACCCCATTTCCTTGTCCACAGATGGGGATAACAACATCCATCATGTGAGGATTAATGAGTAAGTGCAACAGAACTTCCTGAATCTCAGTGTTCTCATCTGTCAGTAATAATACCTCCTCTGTAGGGTTACTGTGAAAATAGAATAACTGAATGTGTATAATGCTCTCAGCCCCAGGGTAGGAACTATAGGGAATAAAAAGCATAGCAGATGCTGTCCTATCCCCAAGATGCTTCTTTGCCCAGGAGGTTGGGTCCAGTGCCATCATATATGGCAAAAGAAAGGAGACTTACGGACATGAAGTAATTTGGAGGTAATATTATAGAGCAAATAACTAAGGGACAAATACATGATTCAGAGTAAGGACCACTGGCCTTAAAGGGAGCCAGGGAAGGCTGCATGGAGAAGGAGCCCTTGAGGGGTCCTGGAGACCAGGAGGGTATCAAGTGATCGGAAAGGCATAGGGAGGGCATTCTGGGCAAAGAAAAAAGAAGCATCATCTTTACACAGTCCAAGTAAGCATGTGATAGAGAACTCTTAAATGGCACTCATTTGAAAGCTTTCATAGCAGAGGCTGTGCTTTAATTAGGTAGCACCACAGGCCTGTCGCTGTGTCTGAGTCGTGATTCTCAGCATACAACTCTGCCTCTCCCTGTTACTTTCTCAATTTATTATTTTGGGCAATCTGCCAAGCAGATTTTGGTATGCCTGTACCTTATCTCACTGTGTGACCTTTTAATCATTAACTTCCTTTCTCTGGAGACTCAGTGAGATGATCTGAAATGTCCTTTCCAGTTCTGATATTCCCTGAAAAACCTGTTCTGAAGCAGAGGCAACAGCTCTTGCAGTGACTCTGAGGGCATGGAGGTGGCCATACGTGGATGGTGTTGTTTCCCTGCTTCCCTGGCCCTCTGGGTGTTCTCATTCCAACTGTGAGCCACCCTCACCTGGAGTGCCATTGGACACGTCTGGGAGCATAGTTAAAAACCCCAGGCTACTCACAAGACTAAATCACATCATCCCCTCTGTGGTGGCACACAAAACCTCCCTGGGCCCTAGGAGGTCTTATCCTTTCAGACACAATTTTCCAAGAACAGTGATAGGCACAATTTCTGATCAAGAAAGAGCAAACACCATTGTTGCCCACTTGTTAGGGGTCAGCAGGGGGTTCTGGACTCAGCACATGAGTTTTTCCTTCTGATTGTCCCTGGTTCTTTTTAGGGTCTCCTTTGGGGTACTGAGGACCATCCTTGGAGAAAATGGGCAAGAGCAAGTATCCCTCTTTGCCTACACTCTGAGAATTAACTGAAATGGCTCAGATTATTCGAGTCTATACCTCCTGCAGCTTTCCACACTTAGCAATTATAGAACTTGGTCACAGACTAGTTTTGATCAGGTTTCCATGCTTGGCTTTGCTCTTGTCACACCAAAAAGCCAAATGCTCCTTTGCATAAAATGATTCTCTTTCCTACCTCTGTGCTTTGCTTGTGCTGTTCCTGGGGCTAAGAGTGACCTCTCTCTTTTCACAGCTCCCTTTCTATCCTGCCTCTGCCGCCTACCTCCTGTAGTGAATGCCTACTGCATTCAGGAATCAGCTCCATCCGCCTCTTCAAAAAAGACTTCCTCCTCTGATATTCTCATATTACCAACAGTAGAGTGAATAATGGCCTCCTCTGATGTCCGCGTCCTAATTCCCTGACTCCATCAATATGCTATCTTATATGGCAAAAGAGCTTTGTAGATGAGATTTAAGTTAAGGGTCTTGAGGTGGAGAAGAGTATCCTTGATTATCCAGGTGGGACCAATGATATAGTTATAACTGCCCTTATAAAAGAGAGGAAGAGGAAGATACTACTACAGAAAAAGGAGAAGGAAGTGTGAGCAGAGATTGGAGCAATTGACTTTGAAGAAATGGGAAGGTGTCACTGGAAGCTGAAAAAGACGAGGGACAGAGTCTTCCCTCAAAGCCTCCAAAAGGAGTGAGGCCTACTGACAACCTGACCTAAGCCAATGAAATTAATTTTGGACTTCTGACCTCCAGTGATGTAACAGAATAAATGAGTATTATTTTAAACTGCTAAATTTTTGTTATCTTTTTATGGCAAAAATAGAAAACAAAGACATTCTTACATGCAGCCCTCCCTGTGTAGGACAGATTATACCAATTCTGTTCATGTGTTGGACTCCTTCCTTCTAAACTATGAGCTCTTTAAGGACCAGTCCTCAGACTGATTCATCTTTTATTTTCTTATGTTAAGAGAATGCTTGGGTTCAGTAAGTATTTCTTGGAGAAATAAATGATAGATGATGTTCCCAATATTTAGAGCACTAAGTACTTTCAGCAGGTTTTCATAAGCATTTTTCTTAAAGTAATCTCCATCCTCAATGTGGGGCTAGAACTCAGGATCCTGAGCTCAAGAGTTGCATGCTCTATCAACTGAACCAGCCAGGTGCCCCCACAAATATTTTTATTTGATTGATATCCTATTAAAATATAGGGTGGGATTTATTTTTTATTAACTCTATTTTATAGATGAAGAAATCAAGACTCAGAAAGCTCAAACAACTTCCCTAAAGAAACAGAAGACTACTGTGGTCTTGTTCTTTCCAGAACATTCCATACCTACAGCTCCAATGAGGCACATAAGGAAGAGGAGCCCAATGCAGAAGAAAATGTCTGTGTTCATGCGCCGCTCAATCTTGCTGCGTTTATACCGTGGGCCACTGTTGTTCAGCATGGCTTTTGTCTCATGGCCTTTGGGAGAAAATGAGGTAATAAGTCCTTAGCTTATGTTTTCTTCCTCTGGCCTGGATCATATCCTTAGCTCTCACAGTAGCTTACAATAGAAAAGAGGCTTCTTCTAACCTAAATCTTTCCTGCGTCAGGGAGATTGCTGAGAACAGCTGTAGAGGTCTCACACAATTTGTCACCACGTGTTTACTGAGCATCCCTTCCACACCAGACACTGTGGTGCACACAGACAGAGCTACTAAGCACAGGTTGTACACTGCACAACTCTAGAAACACTCTTCATTTTGTGGTTGTTATAGATTTGTAGGTTTATCATGATAAATTTCTGCCAAGTGATAGTAAGCTGTCTGGAGCAAGGACTATTTTTCTAATTTGCACAAAGGAACTGTTATGGGCTAATGTTAGGATACAAAGATGACTCACATTTTGATGAAAATATTCAAGAAAACAAATAAATAATTATAGTTGGTAAGAAGCTCCATGAAATAAACAATGGGCTGATAAGTAAGAGATGATATTAGAGAACATGGTCAGGGAAGGCTTTTCAGAGGAGGTAACATATAAGGGAGATCTGAAGGGAGAGAGATGAGTTGAGAGAACTTGGTTTTGGGGGAAGAGTATATGCCAAGGCCCTGTGGCAGGACAGTGCATGAGGCCAGTAGTTTTCATTCTAGTTTCTTTTTCTAAGGTGTTGGTGTCATTTGTATATAAGTGGAAGGGGCCAAAGGCCTCCACCCCAGCATCACTTTGAGTCACTCGTCACCTATCTTGGAGTTCTGCATAAACTTTTGTTCAAAGAGAGAACAACAATAATTTGAAAACTACCAATCTCATCCAGTTACCCTTGTTCCAGTTGGAGAGTGGGAACCAAAGAGTAGAAGGCTCTGCCTAAGGGGAAAGAGCCATAACATCAGAGCCATACTGAGAACCCAGGATTCTGATTCCTGCTCTTTCTCCTTCTACCAATTCATGGTTTCCAGGCCATAAAATTAAGAGCTGAGAGCCAAGCTGATACTTTGCCTTTAGATAGAGCCTACCTTTGGGGCTGTTAAACCTAACCACCATGCTGTATTACTCAGAAAATTAAGAAGCACCACATATGTGCTGTGTAAAATGAAAGAAAACCAATATATCAGCACCAGCAGTGAATGGCTTTAATGCTCTTTAGTTGGTTGCCTTGTGGTTTTAAAGTGGCAACAAAACAGTAGGAGTGAGTAAACTCTGGGCTTATTAATCAGACTCAAGTTGCTGTAGTTGTGAGGAAGATTTCCACAGCAATGAGCACAGGCTGACTGCACTGATGGCACCATGGCCTTCTCACCTGCCTCAGGCTTACCTCACGTCAGGGGTCCTCAGACCTCTCTCTTCACCCACCTGCTCCTTACCTTCTGAGATCCCTCTTTTTTTTTTTTCTCAGGTAAACAGGTTGACAGGGAAGGCAGTATAGTATAATGGTTGGAATGTGGTCTCTACAATCAGCCAGAGCTTGGCTCTGTAGAGACTTGACATTGGGTTACAAGGAATTAATCTCAGGAGACAAATGACCTTGGATGAATTAATCCCTTTGTACCTTAATTCCTCATATGAAGAATGAGAGACAATAGTTGTGTGTGTGTTTGGGGAAGAAGAGTGATTTAATATGCACGAAGTATCTAAATTTCCTCCTTATACACAATAGGGGCTCAATCAATGTTTGCTGTGATGGATCTCTTCCTTCTGGATTTGGAAGGCTCATTTTGGCTTCTTTGGGTCCTTGCCCTGAGGTGCTTCTGTTTTATCCATCCGTATTATCAGAGGAGAGTATATGACTCTAGACCATTTGTTCTCCTCCAGTGGTGATTTCACTCCCCAGGTGACATCTGGCAATGTCTTGAGAAATTTTGAGTTGTTACATCTTAATGGCATCTTGAGGCCAGGGATGCTGCTAAACATTCTACAGGACAGCCCCTGACCACAAAGAACAATCTAGAACAAAATGTCAATAGTGCCAAAGTTGAGAACCCCTTGTTCTAGATAATTATACTAAAACAATTAGCACCATTTTTGCTCACACTGTTTGAGAGCCTAATATGTGCCGGTACTGTGTTAAGCCCCTTTCACAATCTCATTTGAACCTTATAACCCTACAAGGTGAGAGTTATTAGTCCTCTTGTGTTGAAAGCTTAACCAACATGTTTAGGAACATGCAGCCAACCAGTAGATTTCACTCCCAGACAGCCTAACTCCTCGGGGTCATGATTCACTCTCTCCCAAACCTGCCCCCTCATTTACTATGCTCATCACTCACTCAGAATTTTGCTTCTGATCAGGAAGAGAAGAAAACTCCAGGCCGATGTGGGATTTTTTTTTGGTGGGGTGGGGATTGCTTCAGAGTTTATCATTAGTAGGTCTACCAGAATGCGTTGAACTCCGTTGCCAAAGACCCTTGAAAAGAGTAACTGACAAACACAATCCCCCTCCACCAAGGTAGGGAAAGCTAGCTAGACTGGGACATTATTTTTTTAAAAACTTTTTTTTTTCTTTGACAGTTCCAAAAAGTGAAACTTTGGGTAGATTGATGTTTAAATGCTCTTCCATATCCATTAAAAGTGGGGTTCTGTGAATTTAGAAACAAATCAAAGAAAATAACAAAATATGTCCAAATGAGTGAAAGGCCCAGGAAAAGATAATCTAGGGTCTTCCAGTAAAGGTAGACACTCCAGGGAGACTGTGCTTTCTCTACAGAGGAAGGAGTTTGCAGTTGTTGTTGTAACGACAGAAATTTATTGAGCAACCTCCGAGTGCTAGGTGCTAAGTACTGGATATACAGCAGTCTCAAGACGGCCCTCTAAGACTTCAGATTCATCGTGAGAAGTGCTGTTATCTTTTTTTTTTCCATTAGAAAGCAAAAGCAAAGTGGAAAGGAGAGCTAGAGTACCTCAAAATGAATAAACACATAACTACAGAAGCAACAACTAAAACCCACTGAACACTCACTGTGTTAGACATAATTTGTTTCATGTGTTGGGTCATTTGATCCTCATGAGTACACTATGAGGCTGAGCAAAATGTTCTTTCCATTTGCATAGGTGAAGAAATGAGGCACAGTTTTCACAAAAAGGTGGAGCTGTTAAACTTGGTGAGATTACTCCTCAGGCTCATTCTGCCTTCAGTTACTGTCACAAAACCATTAGAGGTGAATGAGCATGAATCCTTCTTTCTGTTCAGATGAGTGATGTTAGCTTGGAATTTAAGTACATGTCTTGTGAACCAAGTAAGCTGCTGTGATTCTAGCCTCATTTTGCTTAGCTGAGAAATGGGAAGTTTCTTGTACCCCTCAGAACTGTTGTGGATTCCCACTGACTGAAAGTGGATTTAGGGGGGATAAAGGACAGAGGTTGTGGGGAAGGCACAGCATAAGTCAGTGACCTGCATAGATGACGATGCCAATGGCCACTTCAGTGTTTCTGATGGTGCAGCCTCGAAGTAGAAGACTCTCACTGCCAAAGCCGGTCCTTGTCTGGTCAGGATGCTCCCTGGGGATGAAAAAATATCGGGAATGGTTTGGTGGCCTCTTTAGGCTATCACTGGTTAGCATCACAGAATTAGTAGTGGTGAGTGAACACAATTCCTCTCCTCCCTCTGTTTCAGAAGAGCTATGGGTATTATTAACTCGGCATCTAATCCCTAGGTTCAGATACAACCTTCATTCTCCTTGGAGGCCTGGAAGGGACTGGACCATTAAAAGAGAATCATCTATCCCTATGGAATCATCATTTACCCACTTCGAATTCAGAGTTCTGTTGAAAAAGCGTTGGCTTCAGTTTTCTCACTCAGAATGGTGTAGTGTGGGGGAACTGGCTTCTGTCCCTACAAAGACTGCACTGTATTCCCTCAGGCAGTATTCCCACGCTCTCACCTCACTTCTGGGACCAGACCACAGAGGCTGAATGTGCAAGTCCGCCGAAGCCACCAGTGCCCACCCCCTACCCCCCGTCACACTGTGAACTGGCGAGACTCCTCTTGTTTGGAGCTACATCTCTCACTTGCCTCTCTCCTCTACCACCCTCCTCTTGCTCAGTCTCTCATGAAATGAACAGACCTCACAGGAGGGGGATGGTAGTCCTTTGTGCTATGTGTGGGAAGCAGCTCCTTAAGACAGTTTTTTTTCTTGCTCTAGCCTCAGGGGCATTGCACACCAGAAACTTCGGAGGCCAACACACACCTGGAGTCTGGCCCTTATTGGATCCTGATGCCTTCCTTTGGGATATTCGGGACATTTAAATATAACTTCCTTGAAGCATTAGGGAGAACAAAAAGAATAAGCATCTGAACCCTTAGGTCCTTTTTCTTTTTAGTTCTTCAATACCTCATTTGTCTACGTCTGGTTATAATTGTGTTTCACTTACTAACCCAGGTAATCATCATGACAACCCTGTACGATAGGTTATGTTATCATAGTCACTTCAGAGATAGGGAAACTGAGGGAAGTTCGCAGAGCTAGTAAACGGCAGAATGGGGATTGGAGTCCAAAGTCTGGCTCCAGAGTGCTATACTGCCGCTCGATGTACCTTTTAATATCAATTATTCCTTACTGTGGTTATAAACTAAGTTTACTTATGTCATTTTATTTGATTGTTCAGACTTCTGGGAAGTTAGAAGGGTGATTATCCCTTCCTGGAGAAAAAGATGAAGCCCAGAGAAGGTGAGAGATTTTTTCCAAGGCTGCACACCTAACTTATGGGACATCCTAGGACTCAGGGGCCCAGGCCACAGACAGCACCTCACCTGCGGTTTTCACAACACTAGGGTTCCCAAAGTAGGAGCCCCATCACTTGCACTGAATCGCAGAGTCCTTTCCATTTGCAATTCTTTTGACTCTAACAAGAAAATGTCTGACAGCTAACTCAGGATGAAGCAAATACACAAACCTCAGGCATAGGGAAGGCCTCTTTGCGGGGCCAGGTGGCAAACCCTACCTGAACAGATGCCTGCCGTGGATCCTCCTCTTTGCCAGGAGCTCAGGCCCTTCTCTGCCTGTCTCCATCTGTGCAATCTGCGCATTTTAAAATAATCTGTGTTTAAAAGCCGCTATTTATCTTATATCGTTCTTATCCTTTCCCCTCTCGTAGTGTTCCTCATGACATCCTATCAGGCCTGAGAAAATGTAGGTGAAGAGAAAGCACAGACATCTGCCTTCCAAGAATACTACTTAAGCCCGATTGGTCAAAGAAATCACCTTACCAAGCCAACCTCTGTTTGCATGACAATGGAAAACATATTGGGGCTTGAGTGGAAAGACCTGGATTCAAATCCTGGTATTATCTGGTAACTATTGTACACCTTTGGGTGTATGTGGAAAGTCTTAGATCATCCCTATCTGGAAAGTGAGGATCATAATAGCCACTTCCCTGGGTGGTTGTACAGAGAAAAAGAGATGACGTTCCATGTAAGTGCCCTAGAAACTATGAAAACACTGTATAAGGGCTTGTATTCTCATTGTTACCATTGCTCTTTTTTGGTCTGTCTGTGCATTAAGACCAGTAGTCTGATGTGGGAACAGAATTACGGTCAAGTTCTCAGGCCAAACTAAAGTTGAGGCATAAGAATAACAATAATTACAAGAGCACAGCCACCATCGACGGTTTACTCTGTGCAGGTTGCTGTGCTATGGGCTCTGCATATGATAAAAGACTTACTTCTTAGAAAACAGAAGTCCTATCATGTAGACTTAACAATCTTTGTTTTACAGATATGGAAACCAAGGCCCAGAGAGGGCCTTGAATTTACTCGAAGTCACACAGCTTGTAAGTGATAAAACCCGATTTCAAACTGGGGTCTGTCAAACTCAAAAGTCCCCATTCTTACCTGCAGTACAACACAAGCTCTTTTAGAAAACTGACCTAAATGAAATCTTGCCTTTCCCAAATCAGAGTGTGGTCTTGATTTTGATGTTATTTCACCAGAGGTTTAAGAAAAAAATTAGCAAATTTGGGGATCCCTGGGTGGCTCAGTGGTTTAGTGCCTGCCTTCGGCCCAGGGCATGATCCTGGGCTCCTGGGATCTAGTCCCACATCCAGCTTCCTGCATGGAGTCTGCTTCTCCCTCTGCCTGTTTCTCTGCCTTTCTCTCTCTCTCTCTCTCTCTCTCTCTCTCTCTCTGTCTCTCATGAATAAATAAATACAATCTTAAAAAAAAATTAGTAAGTTTAACCCTGCAAGATAATTAACTGCCACTCTGGAAAAAAAAATTAAAAAAGGAAAAAGAAAGAAAGAAAAAGAAAAAAAGGAAAAGTTTCCCAAGGTAGTCGGTTTCTTTAACATTTTTTTATGGGAACAAGAAAGACAAGTCCTCAGGGCCATGCTTATCTCTTTGGCCATGTCAAGAAAAGATGTGTTCTGGCTGCAGGGGAAATAGTTACCAACAGCACAGGTGGATTAGGTACTTACATATAACCCTTAAATTTGTTGAGGTGGTTGTTTGGTTTCTCACACACAATGGTGTTGCAGAAATGTTCAGGTTCAAACTGTACATCCTGTGAGGGAGAGAACACCAGGAGGTGATTAAGTCAGAGGATCTAGTTTCAATAGGATCAAGACAATCCCTGCTTTGTCATGCTGTGATAGCTGTGAAATGTTAGAAGAAAAGTGAAATCCTCATTAAGAAGGACAAAGCAGATGCACTGAAAATGCTGGAAATTTGGAGGCATGGGAGAGGGAGGGTCCTGCCCAGCCCACAGTTCTTTGCAGGTCTGGATTTGAGTTTCCAGACCAGCGCTATTCAATAGAACTTACGGTGATTATAGAAGTGTTCTAAGTCAGCACTGTTGGATATGGGAGCGACTAATCACATGTGGCTATTGAAATGTGAAGGTATGACCGAGAAATTAATTTGAAAATTTTATTCAATTTTAATTAAATAGCTATATGTGGCAAGTGGCTACCACATTGGGCAGCACAGACATAATCGAAAAGATTATAAATTACACACCTAGAGGTAATCAGAATTAATATTGTGTATATAATACTTCTAGGGTTTAATACATACATATAATTTTAAAAATATACAAACACATACATGTTATATATGGGCACACACAGATTTATGAATTTCAAAAAATGAGATGGTGTTCACACATATTGGAAATTTTTACGTCTTTAATTTTTTATACAGTTTTATTAACACCTATATAGAAACCTGTTGTATGAAGACCACCATACGTATTTCACCATCTCACTATGGCACATTTATATGGTCTCAATTTGTTTTTCTATTATGAACATGCTGTGGAAATTGTAGCTAATAAAACACAATAAACAGCATTTACTGTACTCTTGTTTCTGCCAGATGCTGTGATGAGAACTTTACATATATTATTTAGTTTTAAGCTTACAATTATTCTATGAAGTAGGAATACTAATTATGTCCTCTTTAGGGATGGAAAAACCATGGCTCAGAAGGGTAGGCAGGCTGCCAATAGCTGTCCCAGGAGTGGGATTTGAATCCAAGTCTGACTGGAGGCCCTCTGTGCTTTACTTGCAACGCATACTACCCCCCAGCCAACTTTCCTGTAGCAAAGTACTTCAGATGCATGCTTGCCTTTTTTCTCCATGATTTCTCTTGCATTAGATATCTAGTTATGCAAAATCTTACAGCCAATGGGGGAAGGGCACCACTAGAGGACAGGAGATCTTGCTTTCTACCCACATGGGCTAATATTCCTTTTACATCTTGAGCCTTGGTCTCCTGTCTGTAGAATGGGGCTAATGCCACCTTCCCTGTCCATCTCATTTGTGCCCCAGAAGACGGAATCCAGGTGGAGAGTTTTAGCAGATGTAACATGCCATGTAGTAGAAGAAAGGAATGCTAAAGGTGGGGTGAGAAATAGTTTCCTGCGTAGAGCTTTTAGTGTGGGGACTGAATTTATTGCTGAAAGCTTCAAGGTACAGCTGTTCAAAGGGGCAAATTGATTAGAAGATATGATAGCATTTTCTGGCTTCGTATAAATATACTGTCCATTGGATCTGTGGGGGCGCCAACATAAATAAACTCTCCACTCACTTGAAATAAATTACCCATCCAGGAGTTTCTAAAAATATGGCCCTTTTCTTTCCAGGTATCGATTCTTTCAGGGACAAACACTTGCCGAGTCCTGAGATGATGACAAATCACGCTGTAATTTGTCAGCTGCTTTCATGCCCCTGATTAAGCCGTGTGCTTCACTCCAATCCATACCACTCGGCTCATTGCAGGCTATCTAAATCCAAACTCATTTCAGGTATGAGTGGCAGCGGGTTTCAGAGCTAATGATCCTGCTGGCAGTGAGTCCCGGGTGTCTATTGAATCATACCTGGCAGATGCCAGCAATGTGAGGTTTGCCTCTCTTGTCCCTGCACTGGGGCTTCCCAGTGACCTTCTTTCTCAAGTGTCCCTTGTTCTCTTTTTCTTCTGGGCACTGGCCTTGGATCCTCTGTCCATCTTCCTCTCTTCCTGCGGAGGTGACCCTGCCCTTTCTAGCTACCTGTTTCCTGGGCTCCTTCCTTCCCTCCCTAAGACAGGCTGTAAGAGAGGGGCATGTGGATCTTCCTATCTTCAAAGATAAGCTCTTAGGATTACTTGCTTTGAAGGACTTGCTGTAGACACTTCAGGGAGCTGCTTGGAGAGCCCAAGGACAGAAGGGCATGGCAGGAACTGCCAAATCTAAAAGGCCCTTATTCTAACCACATTCAAGAGTTTCTGATTCCCTTCTGATTCATTACAGTACAGCTCTTCTTAGCTTGTGGACATAGCTCACCTAACTAACATTTCTTTCTGACTCAGCCCTTTACCTATGCAAGCCCCACTAATAAGTGAAAAGGCCTGGGGAACCCTTCCAGAGAGGGGTGTGTGTGACTCTGCAGCTCTTCAGGCCAGACCCACCTCCCTTGAATACTTACAATGTGCCAGGCACCTGTCATTTAGTTCTCACAGTAACTGTAGGAGATTTTGACAGATGTGCAAACAGAAACTGAAGTAAAGCAACTGTCTTGGGGTGGTAAGTAACAGAGCCATGACTACCATTCACATCATTGCAATTCAAAGCCAATTATCATCATCGTTTGCACCATGGTCATCATTGTCACCATCATCAATTCACTTAATCCTCTTTGTCCTGTTTTTTATCATTATTGCTCCAGCACTTATTGAATGCTTATTATATGCCAAGAACCAACTATTTTATAGATGCTGTTGCCTTTAAATCATGTGATAACTCTATCAGGTAGGGATTATTATTATCTCTGTTTTACAAGTGAAGGAACTAAGGTTGAGGTGATCTGATGATTACCCCAATGATATACAGCTAGCAAAGTGAGAAGGCAGGCTTTAACCATGGGACTTCTGATATCACACACTAGCTCTCCTAAAAATGGTGTTATTTTGATGCACAAAGACAAGATTAGTATTTAAGATCTCCCCTTGGGGGACGCCTGGGTGGCTCAGCAGTAGAGCACCTGCCTTCAGCCCAGGGCGTGATTCTGGAGTCCCAGGATCAAGTCCCATATCGGGCTCCTTGCATGGAGCCTGCTTTACCCTTTGCCTGTGTCTCTGCCTCTCTCTCTCTCTGTATCTCTCATGAATAAATAAATAAAATATTTTTTAAAAAAAGATCTCCTCTTGGCTCTATTTCCTTTTCTATGTTCCTTTCCCACTTTCTATAATCTAAATACCTGATAAAATAAATAAATTCATATATACAGAATTAAAAAACAAGCCCCCCAAAACTGAGCTCATAGATATAGAGGACAGATTGGTGTTTGCCAGAGGTGGGGGAATGGGGGAAGGGAGAATGGGTAAAGAGGGTCAAAAGGTACAAATCTCCAGTTAAAAAATAAGTAAGGTGGGACGCCTGGGTGGCCCAGTGGTTGAGATCTGCCTTTGGCCCGGGACGTGATCCTGGAGTCCCGGGATCGAGTTCCACACCGGGCTCCCTGCATGGAGCCTGCTTCTCCCTCTGCCTATGTCTCTGCCTCTCTCTATGTCTCTCATGAATAAATAAATAAAATCTTTAAAAAAATAAGTAAGGTGATTATAGTTAATAATATTGCATTGTATATTTGAAAGTTGTTAAGAGATATCTTAAAAGTTCTCATCACAAGAAAAAAAATGGAACTGTGAGGTGATGGATGTTAACTAGACTTCTTGTGATTTCATAACATATACAAATATCAAATTATCATATATACCTAAAACCTAAACCTAACCTTTTATAAAACCTAACCCTAACCTTTTATACCTAAAAGATATAAGTCAATTATATCTTAATAAAAAAACGAACAAGCCCCAATGCCTAGAAATCTTCATTATTACCATTATCATGATTACCATCACCCTTCTTAATGTGGGTCAAACAGGAAGCATAAAAAAAAAACTAAACTACATCATATTGTCATTCTGACCTTTTATTTGCCTCCATAAAATGTTTTTATTTGATTGTATCTAAAAGACTTATATTTTATGAAAGGTTTGCCTTATAGTGATTGGCTCACTTGCCTCCTTTTTTCTGGTATCTACATAAACATCTAGTTGGTAGGCAGTCAAGGCATTTTAAGACGGGAGTATCTCAACTTTGGTACCATTGACATTTCAGGCTGGATAATCCTTTGATGTTTAGCAGTATTCCTGGCCTTTACTAATTTGATACTAGGAGCACCCTCTCTTTCTGACATATGTGGTGACCAAAAATGTTTACAGACATTCCCCAATATTTTCTGGTGGTAGAACTGAGAATTGCTCTAGAACCAATTCCAAGCTAAGGAAATATAAAATTATCCAGATTGAGAATACCCTCTATCCTATCTGTCCACCAGGAGAGGACATAATAGGATTTTTCCTTTTTTTTTTTCTTTCTCTTCAATTGGAAAAAAAAAAGATTTTATGACTGGGGCTTTCTAATGGCTTGAATGAAGAGAAATGTGCAACTCTATCTATCTATCTATCATCTATCTATTGAGATTATTATATATAATATACATATATATGTATTTAAAATTTTTAAGCATTTAAGATATTTTTTATGCCCCCTCCTCTGTGAAGCCTACCAAATCCCCACAGACCCTTTCACCCCAGCCAATGAAAATGTGTCCTTTTTATGTGCTCCCACATCACACTAATGCTTCCATTAACCTTTATGTGTCTGAATCTATGCTTTTTCTACTAGACTGCCAGCTTCCTCTGGGTATTTCCCATAATACCTTGTGGCAACAGGTACACCATCAACACTCGTTGAGATAAGGTTAGTAGTGGATAGGGTGATGTGAAGAATATATATATAGAAAGGTGATAGATGAGGAAATAAAGGAAGACCTCTCTGTAAAGATTGCTTAAAGCAATTAAGAAAAACCCCAGGGACAAATCTTAACTTTTTTTTTTAAATATTTATTTATTTATGATAGTCACACACAGAGAGAGAGAGGCAGAGACACAGGCAGAGGGAGAAGCAGGCTCCATGCCCGGGAGCCGGACGTGGGACTCGATCCCGAGTCTCCAGGATCGCGC